TTTTCATCACATGTTACTAGATTCACCCCCCCACCCCCCACCCCAATATATACATATCTTTAAATGTTTTTGTATTGTATAACTTTCATACACTTGTACCTTGTAAAATGTAATATCTGCTAAATCATGCATATGTATCTTCAATTTTGGAGGAAATAAAGACGATCTATCTATAGACTGACTGACTGAGTTTAGTTTTACGCCGCTTTTAGCAATATTCCAGCAATATCACGGCGGGGGACACCAGAAATGGGCTTAACACATTGTGCCCATGTGGGGAATCGAACCCGGGTCTTCGGCGTGAATCTATCTATAGAATTCCATTACCCTTATATGGATACCATCCTTAATTCCGTTGATCATTAATGTGATCTCTGAAAATTGATGAATATTGTTCTGAAGTATCAAGTTATGATTGACAGTGATTGGTGAACCGGAAATGATTGGTGACCATGTGTGACACTGAAAAGGGAACTAGTATTACAGCAACAGCGAGAGATACTGTGTTGGGTGAGTTCATCTCAGGGCCCGACTCGCGTGCCTAACACCCCTAAAATTGGAATGCTCTAACTAATCTTCCTATTGTTCTCCGCCTGACTGAACTTGTTTCTTTAGGAAATGTTGGGAAACCGAGGGTAAACCGGGTCTTCCTCCTCGGCGTCGCCACACAGGCGATCGTCCATCCGTGAATCGCAAACAAAAGCGGGATTCATCACTAAACATCACATGTCGCCATTGCCGGTTCCCCTTCCTCTAACGTTGCTGAGCCCACTGATAACAAAGATGTCTGTGGTTAGCTGTCCTCATCACACCTTTGAATGGGCGTCTTGAAATAAGACCTCTGCTACGGGGCCTGTTGTGTCCAGTAGAGTTCGAAATCCGTGTTCCTCTGGCTTCTGAAAAATTCCACCTTCAAATCCGGGGCTGTGACCGATCGATTCCTCATAGCTATAGCTCTCAGGGTGTTGTCTTGTCTGGGGGTTGTTTTAGAGCGTCCTCCTCGACTGGTCCTCATTTTAACGGCCACTGTTCGACGGTAAAGGTTCATGACACGGGGAATGTCGCTTTTGGACTTCCTGAAGAACCGGGCAGCACTATTCTGAGATTGTCCACCCTCTATCATGCCAATGGCCTGCCATTTCTGTGCGTTTGTCAGGTACTGTCGAGATGGCATTTTCACAAGAGATATTGGGACACGCTTTCTGTCAGTTTTATAGGCTAGAATGCACGTGTGGTGCATGATGCACGTGTATCATGAAAGGGTAATATGGTGCTGCTTGTCGTGTCAGCCGTAAGCGATTTCCGATCTGGGTTCGAATGCAATCAGCTTGCACCTTTTATGTAGCATTGTTTCAACTATAAATTCCATTTGGGGGTTCCCTTATTTCTTGTGCCTAGTATATTTGACACCGAAAGCCTTTAAGTTAACTCAAAAGGAATAACCCTTGTGTTTTACAATGATGCCTTAATTATAGTCACAATGAAGTATAGGTTGCTAGTGGGTTCCAATATGATTGAGTCAGTGAAATACTAATATTTACCAAAATTTAATTCTAAAGGAGCCTTTTTTCAAGCAGTTACTTAAAGCCATACATAGCCATGGGTGTTTGGTATGTTTACTCTGTAACCCTAACCCTGCAGTGGGGTTTCCTGCAGATCATAACAGATGTTTAACCTGGGAATATCTAGACATGCTTCATTTAGGGCGTAAGTATTACAGTAAGGGATGGGCGGAAAGGGAAATAATATCGTTCTGTGACTATGATGCAGACTGGGACAAGATATGAATAACAAAAAATTGGACAACGGACCATTGTTTGGGTCTTTTAATTGTAAATATGATTCAAATAGCTTAACCTAGATTTCGATACCCTTCGAACGTACATTTTGTTGAAACTGGAAAATATACATTTATCCCGAGACAAGAACGAATGTTTACTAATAATTCAAAAGTAGAACAGCACGAGTGTCCATTTTGTCTTTTGTCTTCTACCCGTCCCTACATACGCTCAAGCACATGTGTCTCCAGGTCACGGAGAATAGGTGGTTTAGGGGCCCGTATTGTAATTCTCGTGCGTTTGCATGTGTTGTTGACGTAGCATGGACGCCTTGTAACATCACTATTTGATTATGATTCACAAACACATGTTCATGATATGGTCGGAATCGTGCCACGGACTAGCAGATATTGATCATGTAAACAGGTTTTTATGTAGGTGGCTTTAAACTCGCTTTTACAAAGGCCTATAGGTTCGATCACAATACTTTTCGTTTTACAGCTTCTTTTCTCTAAACATGCTCACGTCAAAACTGATTTAAATTCTAATTGAAGAATAAGACAATAAAGAGTATGCTAAATCATCGTTACCATGACAAGCCTGTGATATTTCACCTTATGTAAGAGAGTAATATATACGATGCTAGGTATGGCAGTACTACTGCAGATGAAAGTGTATGTCGTACATTTTTATAAGTTGCTGAAGCACTATCACACTGGGTATCTATACAATTATATGTGTGATGGAGGAGAACTTGCGTCGCTACTTTTCTCAATAATCTGAATGCATGTATGTAGCGTGAAACCGGCAGATGCCTATAGAAGAAAGTGGTTGCCCTACCTGTAACAACAATGTCACGTGTTTATAAAAGGGATATAATGTGGGGATAAATGGCATGTACTTTTATCTTGGCCCGTTTATGATGATACATATTTTTTCGATCTTTCACAATAATCTCTCTGGCTATCAGACTGATGGTACTATTTAAACATAACCGGTATTTCTATTATTGTATTTATACAGTAACATTCTTCGAACTTTCTCCATATACGTCCGCCAGATACATCGTGCACTACCCCTTTCTCTATTGATTTTCTCCAACGACTGCTGCAAGTTCGAAGAATCCTGGTCAAAGTAGAAATGTCTTAAGACTATTCCCTACAATTCTGTAACATACACATTGTAGCCTAAATGGGTAGGGCTTCCGTTCGGGGGAATATCAGAAGGCCAACGATACAATTATCTCCAATGTTGTTGAAAGCACTCCACTTACTTAGGAAAACAATAAGCCGCTTTGCATTCATGTCGGAATCAATATTTTCGGCACCTGTTAGATCTGAACTTGAACATGCGAGGTCTGCGTCTATGTCTGGCTAAAGGTCTACAAGATGTTTAGCAACACTGTGGCGTATTAGTCATAGGCCTGCTCTAAACAACGGAATATATATCTTGTGAGAAGGGCTTCTCCGACGGGGTAAATTAAAGCAATGCAACATCACATTTACTTGTGTGACATTTGCTTTCGCAATCTGAGTTTATGAATCGTCAATTTAAACAGGACAATCGAGACGAATTTCACAAAAGGCACTGAGGTCCAACATGCCTATGGTATACTCAGAGAACGCACCCGCCTGTGCTATCCGATCATAATCGCTACACGATAAAAACTATTTTGTCATTTCATGTCTCACAGAATATATAATTTGATATGGCATTGTTCGTTATCGTATACTTTTGTGTTAGTGAAACAAATGTGGACAACTTTAAGTGATGCGCGAGCTGAACAGACTTAAGAAATTACGAGTTGGTTCGTGTAGCATATTTAGCTGTGCTCCAAGAGAGATAAAGTGCTATTCTATTGGGACAGCTAGGGACACTTGTGAGGATAAAGGGGCAGCTCATCGCAATCTCTCGAAACAAGCACCTCACAAGATTTGCCAACACCGCAGACAAGGCGTAACTGATACTGGTAGCAAGAGCGGGTGCAGCTTAATAAGGCGTGTTAACTTTCCTAATACTGATTTCTTTGTGAGGCTCTTTTGGTGATAAGAATAATGAGTTCACGTGAACGTTGATTTCAAAATGTGTGAAAATGAAATTGCATGAACCAAGTAATTCACATGATGGAAACATATGTTCATCTTGCTTAAGCACAAATAACATGAAGATGTATGAACCGCCATATACATACCCCTGAAATTTGGCATGATGCATAAATATCTGAGGTGTGTAAACATTTGCAATTATGAAAATTTACATGTGTTTCCCCACCTAAGTAAATTTACATGTGTCCAACCCAAGTAAACTTACAACGAAATCGGAAATTTCAGCACCCATTGAAATTCAAAGGAATGCATCGGAAAATACTGTATGATCATTTATTTACTGGGGTATCTGTTTTGCAATTCATGTTTGGAAATACCTGACAATCCGGTCATAGCATACATGAACGAGGTGCTTGTGCATACGAAATGTACGATGAGCATATGTTTCAAAGGTGTAGATTTGTATGAAATTTATGCCCGAAGTTAGGAAATATCTGGAAACATACGAAAATAGGATAGCATGTATTTCCTACTGTATGCGTTTGCTCATAGGTATACCATCCCGGTCCTGTGTAAATATAGGAGTTTCGCCTCAGTATCATGAGCACGACAAGCAATTGGGTTTGTGACATGAAGACCAAATTGACCACCCGATCCCGTTAGTCGCCTCCCGGATCTTCACGGGTCTTAAAAGCAAAGTAGTGGCGAAAATAATTCTAATAAAACACTGGAAAATAGTGATGAAATACAGAAAGGGAAAAAAAATGTGTAAATGCAATTCCTAACACCATAACCTCTTGTCCTACTCATGAGCAAAAATATAAGTTATGAGATACGTTGAATATCTTGGATTCGAACCCTCTTCCTGGACCTGGGAATGAGTTAAACCACCTAACTACCCGTGACCAAGCGGGATAGGGGCGGTGGGGCTTAACGTGTTCGCTGGGGTTCGATTCCCCACATGGGCGGTGTGAAGCATATTTCCGGTGTTCCCCGCCATGATGTTGCTGGTACGGATCTGCAAGACCTGTTTTCGCACCACTCGGGTTCAATTCCCAACATGTGTACAATGTGTTGAGCACATTGCTGGTGTCCCCCACCGTGATATTGCTGGAATATTGCTAAACGCGGCGTAAAACTAAACTCATTCACTTAAGCTGGATAAGAAGCAACCCACCTTTGTAATGCATATGGTTGAACCCGCTGATAATGTAAATCGTGTCGCTCAGAATCTTGTTGGTGCAGCGGGCAGGGCATGTGGATTCGACCACGGTCCTGCTACGTCCCGGCGGGATCACAAGGTTGGTTTCACCCGTCCAAAATAGCCCTGCGTCGTACGGGCGAAGGTTTGAGGTGTAGTAGATGCTGAGGCCAGAGCCGTCCATCTGGCCAGACCTTTTTAAGGGGTTGTTCCAGTGGAACTAAAACAAAAAACATACACGAAAAATGAGATTTCCTATACAGTAGCGGCGTGTAGGAAGCCTTTTCCGGCCGTGCTGGCACAGCGCTAAAAGCTGTGTAAAACAACAACACTCGCTCACTCATTCCAATATCCGTTGACTAATGAACCTATGGGACGACAGCATGAGCATTGATCAATACCACACAACCATCACGCATATATATTGTCCAAAACCAGTTTTTATCTGTTCTTCAGTAACTGAAGTTAGCCACCTATACAGTCCAAGAATATAAGGAACGTACAGCTTACGAGCGTTTATATACTGGACAAAAATAGATATGCAAATTTTGAAATTATGAATAATGATCTGTTTATTCATTGTCACACTGATCAAATATCAATCATAAAAATACCAATGTCCCTAACTTATTTTGTCCAGTATATGTTCTGTTGGGCCCATCCTCGATAATCTTCAGGGTATACGTTACGATCACTCTCCACTATACCCTGGATGTATCCACGGCTTGGTCCGATGATTTTATTACCTCCCTTGGCTGTTGGAGATTATCGAGGATGTGTTGGGCCACAGCCGTTTGTATATAGACTGCTTGGAAATAATCGAGTTTCGTCCATCCTGAGCGTTCTGGCTTGATGGTTCCCCTTTCTGCTTCAGACGCGATTGGACCCGTGAAGATCCAGGATAGAATAGGTCTTTAGCAACCCATGCGCTTGCCATAAAAGGCGACTATGCTTGTCGTAAGAGGCGACTAACGGGATCGGGTGGTCAGTTTCGCTGACTTGGTTGACTCATGTCATCGGTTCCCAATTGCGTAGATCGATGCTCGTGTTGTTGATCACTGGATTGTCTGGTCCAGACTCGATTATTTACAGACCGCCGCCATATAGCTGGGATATTGCGGAGTGCGGCGTAAAACTAAACTCACTCACTCACTCACTCACTCAGACGTGATTGTTTCGTTTGTTTGTTGTTTTATGCCGCTCTCAGCAATATCCCAGCTATATGGCAACGGTCTGTAAATAATCGAGTCTGGATCAGACAATCCAGTGATTGATACTATGAGCATCGATCTGCGCAATTGGGAACCGATGACAGTCATCAACCAAGTCAGCAAGCCTGACCACCCGATCCCGTTAGTAGCCTCTTACGACAAGCATTGGTTACTGAAGAACATTTCTGACCCGGATGTTAACGGGTCCACGGGATGGTGACTGCTTGTGACTTTATAGTGATTTGGTGATGACCTGATGGTGACAGATGACGAAGTACTGACTTGATGGTGATGTAAATATGCCATTCGTGACCAACTCGTGTTATTTTGGGACAAGCCGAATAGAGACTCGTGCCCCTCTGGAAGGATTTCATATTTGAACATCAGATACTACGTTAAGCAAGAACGATAACTCTATTTCTGTTTGATTCCAATGGTGCATCAAAGTACAGAAGCACTCGTACATTGTATTGCTGTTTTTGTTTTTATTTATTTATTTCAAAGAATTTAACCTCTTTGATGCAACTAAAAAAGGAGAAAAACATATTTCTTTCAATACATATTCTAACGTAATTATAACCAGCTGTTCTTATATTACCAGAGGTATATTTCTTATAGGTTTTAAGAATTACAAATGGGATTTGTTTTATTGAATTTGCGAATTAAATAATCTTTTTCTTCATGTACATTAAATCCCAAAGCGGATACTCAAAAAATAACTTTAAAATATTTCTGAAACTGAATTTTAAAAGCTGGAATTTTAAAATGAATAAGCTGAACATAATATTGATGACTCCCAAAAGGTCAGATTAAAATATCCCCAGACAATCAGCTCAATGTCAAAGATTAGAATTGATTAGTTATATGTCGATGTGATATTATTGTTTTGAACCTCGTTGCGATTTATGATTAGATTTCCTATAAATGTCGGGATGCGCACGTACAATCTCCAAAACAAGCCCGCAAGATCATCAGAAATACAATAGAGCCAACAAGTGAGTGAGTGAGTTTAGTTTTACGCCGCACTCAGAAATATTCCAGCTATATGGCGGCGGTCTGTAAATAATCGAGTCTGGACCAGACGATCCAGTGATCAACGGCATGAGCATCGATCTGCGCAATTGGGAACCGATGACATTTGTCAACCAAGTCAGCGAGCGTGACCACCCGATCCCGTTAGTCGCCTCTTACGACAAGCATGGGTTACTGAAGACCTATTCTAACCCGGACCTCAATGGTCGTTTATGTAAACAAACGCACGTGCGTGTATTTGAATCTCTCATCGTCCATGGCATCGTCTTTACCAAAACTGCATAGGCAACACAGTTCTGTCAGCTACGTTGTTTGTTCTTTCAATATGACGATGCATATGTTTCATGAGTTTCTAAACAATAGCATAATGCCATACACGATGTAAGTAGATTATTTTTATCAAACCACCGCAATCATTACGCGCGTTCTGATCGGTCTGTCGCATTTTCGCACATAAAAAGCATTGAGACGGGGACGAGCCTGCTTGTAGATTGCGGAAAGGGGCGAATGGTTACGAATGTGTGTCCAAACGCAATACCCCCTTCTCCTGCACCCACAACCTCAAGTCTAATCCAAATCTTCACGGGTGGAGTGGATGGGTGCGGCTGTGGAGATTGGGAGAGACGAGCATGGGTTCCAGGTTAAATCTGTCCTGGTTCTTGAAGGGTCAGCGAGTACGTACAAAACGGTTACACCAATCATGCCCGTCACGCCGAAGACCCGGGTTCGATTCCCACATGGGCACAACGTGTGAAGCCCATTTCCGGTGTACCCTGCCGTGATATTGCTTGAATATTGCTAAAAGCGACGAAAAAACCGTACTCACTCACTCATTTCACTAATCACACCACTGGGTAGCTGTTGAGTGTTAAACATGAAAAAAACTAATTATTTGAGGATTTGGTAAATTTATCTTTACTTGTCATCAGAATGCATGTGCATACATACGATATGAATAAACATATGATAGTTTGTGTACCTGAAGGAGTACCATCTTGTAACCGGTTTTCCCAATTCTAAAGCCGGCGTCTTTATGAAGACACTGACCAGTCATACCAACAGTCCAGAATCCGATTCCTTCTTGACATGCAGGCATGGACGCCTCGCATCGTTGAGGACTTGTAATCGCAGGTGCTGCAAGGAGCACAATGATTGACATTATACATTTGGCCAATATTTTCCATAGGGTCTCATCTTCATATGGATGGAAACACTGGCCCTCGTGTCTCAAAGGATTAAAGATTTTAAAAAAATACATTTTTGAGATGACCCCCGACTCGAAATGATTCACAATACAATAAATCATGATTTATTGTAACCAGAAGCATTTCGAGTCAGGGGTCATCTAAGAAAAAATATCCTTTAATCTTCGCAAAGACACGAGGGCCTGTGGATGGAAAACCCAAAGGTATGCAGGTCTTAGAGTGAGTGAGTGAGTGAGTTTAGTTTTACGCCGCTTTTAGCAATATTCCAGCAATATCAGGGCGTGGGACACAAAAAATGAGCTTCACACATTGTACCCATGTTGGGAATCGAACCCGGGTCTTTGGCACGACGAGCGAACGCTTTAAATACTAGGCTATCCCACCGCCCACCACTTTGGTGAACAACATGAGTTCGGGTATGGCACTGACTAAACTTAAAAACACAACAGTGGCGAACTGGGATTCACACCTGCTATCCTAAGTTTCTGACGTGTTCAAAGGACGCTACTCTACAGCGAATTGCATAGCCTGTTTGACTCCTACTACCCTCACCATAGGGAAGGTGATTCGCCAGAGACAGGAAGTGTCACTTTAGCCATTAGCCATGTGGATATCTGTCTGCTCAAAAATCATTTTGGGATGGTGGGGTGACCTAGTGGTAGCCTTCGTCACACCTAAGATCCGGGTTCGATTCCCAACATGGATACAATGTGTGAAGCACTTTTGGGGTGTTCCCCGCCGTGATATTGCTGGAATATTTCTTTAAAAGGCGTAAAACGCACTCACTCATTCAAAAACATTTGCACATGCCTCTGCAAAGAAATTTTCCTTAGATAGTTATTTGATTTTCAGATGAATTTTCACAGAGAAAGAATGAATTTGCAATGCATACAAACAATCAGTAACTCCGTGTGCACATAACAGGAGATTTAGATGCATATATAGTCAAACGAGTAGGGCTGGCTAAAAAGATCGGTAATCGGAAATATCGTCGAGGGTAATCATTATTATTGATGATCGATATGGAAATAGTGTAATCGATCATATGGTACATGAACTAATGTGATGAAATATAAATCATTGGTGTTTACCATTATTGCCACAACCGAAAAGGGTGATGTGATGGATGACGTCAGCGTTGTCTATTTCCGGTTTGGTGGCAATCATGTGGTAATCCTGTGATTGGTCCAACTCGAAGGTCATGCACATATAGGTGGTTTCTTTATCTGGTACTGCTGTTCGTGGAATCTTCATAACCTTTCGGTGGACTCCTGGTAGGGTACATAGGTTATGCAGCAAGGGGAATTCCATAAAGACAGGGATAGTGTTACGGTCAAGTCTCTCTCCCTCTGTCCCTCGATCTTTCTCATCCTCTACCTCCCTCTCCCCTGTCTCTCGCTGTGTCCATCCCCTCTCTCTCATCCTCCCTCTCTCTCACAGCTCTCTCTTCCACTCTCCCACTCCCTGCTTCGCTCTGTTTGTCTCTCCTTCACTCTCGGTCAGACACAGTCAGACAATCTTTCCTGCCTCCAATTTGGTCTCTCCATCGCACTCTCTGTGACTCACTCTCATCAATTTTCTATCTTACTCTCTCTCTCTCGACCCGTGAAGGTCCGGGTTAGAATATTGATCTTCAATAACCCATGCTTGTCGTAAGAGGCGACTAACGGGATCGGGTGGTCACGCTCGCTGACTTGGTTGACACATGTCATCGGTTCCCAATTGCGCAGATCGATGCTCATGCTGTTGATCACTGGCGTGTCTGGTCCAGACTCGATTATTTACAGACCGCCGCCATATAGCTGGAATATTGCTGAGTGCGGCGTAGAACTAAACCCACTCACTCACTCACTCTCTCTCTGCTTCGCTATCCTTGAGTCTTTCTTACACCCCGTGTGACTGTCTCGTCACGCAATGAAGTCTCTGGCCACTCTCTATAACGTCATTTCTGGTGTCCCTCGCCCCAATATTGCTAAAAGCGGCCTAAACTCAGTCTCCTTGACTGTCTTTCTGTCTCTGTCCCTCTCTATACGTCTCTCTCCCAAATCTCTCTCTTGACTCTTTCTCTCTTCCTTGTCTCTATCTCTCTCACTCTTTCTCTCTCCTTTCCCGCCTCTCTTTCACTCACTCACTCGCTCTCTCTCGGAGTATTCTATGATATAGTATAACTTACCTGTTTCTGCAGTAGCCGAGCAGTTAAACGTGGGACTTAAACACGGAGCTGTGGTGAGCCCAGCACAATTCTGGCTTGGCGACATGTCGCAGAAACCTAAAATATAGACCTTGGCTTAGACATGATATTCGTTGCAACATCAAAATATATAGAGCTCTCAGTGATCCGAAATACTAAAACAAGTACAGGCTGGCATGACCTCATATGTGCATTAATGTGTCTATAACTAGCTGAATCTTTGACACACAAACAGCAGTAACCTATGTACACATAGAACTAGCAGAGATGGGTCCTTCCATATTATAGTTTCATATGATCACCGTCATTCATACCACACTATGTTGGTCCGTGATGGCGTGTGGTCCTGTGCATAGAGCTCAGGTCACAATCAGGCGAAATTAAGCAACGTTGAGCGCGGAGAGTTCTTGGATGGGTGACCGTGTTTGGCAGCTTGACTCCTAAGGGTTTCTAGGACTTTCGACTTCAGTCCTGCCCCATAACGAAGCACACGAGACGTGTGGTCTCACCTTAGGCAAGTTAGTTTGTTCAAAATTGCTTCTGTTCACCCAGCAGAAAATGGGTAACCGGTGGGATAAGTCATGTAACCTCTAACCTTCTAGCGCCTGACAGGCAGCTTGGGTTATCTCGGGTAATAATAATCAGATTGTTTGAGCGCTTCGAGCATGGAAATATTGTGCATGGAGAAATGCGCATGATAAATGGACTATTATTAGTAGTATTAGTCATGTTTAATCCTAGCAGCGATCAAGCGCTGTTAAAGTACCAGCAGCATTCTAGAATTGAATAACTTCAAATATGTACACAGACATATAATGTTTTAATAGAACAATCAGTGATCATCGACTTTCAAAACATCCACAATAACCAAAGCTACATTATCTTTAAATTGTACACCCACAATATTAAACTGCACAGAACTTCCGATCATAATGTATATTCAAATGAAGATGCTGTGTAACTTCCTACATCTATCAGTTTATTGCATGAAGGCCAGAGGCCCATATACAGAATAAATATGTATGATATGTACAACATATACAACATGCGACACACACGTTACATTGAATCTCTTCTCAATATAAGCGCGTGATAAATAAATAGAGCTACCTTATATTGTAATAGGGATGCTTTACATGAAAGTATTGAATACAGTTTTGTAGCATTAATATTTGATTGTAGCCATTGTGGAAAATACAGTTGCCTTAAATCATTATATGCAGGACAAAGAAATAGAAAGTGTAATTCATTCTCTACAGTATTACAAAATGGACAGAACCTTTGTGATTTTATAATAGATGAATATCTTCCTTGATTGATATATAAATCATTTAGGCCAAGTCTCAGGCGCATGAAAACACTACGAAGCTTTTACTACGTAAGTTGTATAGATACGACTCAGGTTCAAGTAAAGATTTAAACTCACGATAGCAATCATATCTTGAACTTTCATATAAAGATGAATGCCAGTCTTGTTTAAAGATATCAATAGCCCTGGTACGAAAGAGTTTGATAAATGCATTAACGTCGCCCAGGGTTTGGGATAGCCAAACAAATCCAAAGCCGTATCTAAACAAAAGAATACGAATACGGGTTGCCCAAGTATTTTTACCAATATTATCAAGATGGACAATCATATTGTAGGTTTTTTTGGGCAGACGATGTTCTGGCATATTTATTACTTTACACCAGTACTTTAAACAGCGAGAGTAAGAAATTATGTACAAAGGAAATCTCCCACATTCACCGTACACCATATTATTAGGGGTAGACATCCCAACATTTAAAAACCTTTTACATGCAAGAAGGTGAACCTTTTCAATGGCATAAAATTCCTTATTGCCCCAAATTTCAGACCCATAAAGAAGAATAGGCTGTACTTGGGAATCAAACAATTTGAAAAATATATTGGGACCAACAACCCCCAACTTTGGTATAACAGAGAGCAATTGAAGTAGGGCCCTTTTCCCTCTAATTGCCAAATTAATAATGGATTTGTTCAGATTTAGTGTATGTGTAAACAGTATCCCTAGATATTTATATTCGTTAACAACAGTCATACGCTCACATTTAAAGTACCACTTTTCTGTAGCTGCCGTTGGGCCACCCTTACGAAAAACAACAATTTTGGTCTTTTCAAGATTAACATCAAGTCGCCAGTTATCTGAATAAGATGAAAGTGTATCAATTTGTCTCTGAAGGCCAATAACAGTACTTGACATAAGGATCACATCGTCGGCAAAAAGTAAAATAAAAAGTTCAACAAGATCAGGAAATAATTGGATGCCATGTCTGCCAGATTGTATAACGTCAAAATATAGTTCGTTGATAAAGAATGAGAAAAGTATGGGGCTTAGAACACAGCCTTGTCGTACACCAGTAGGACAATCAAAATAGTCACTGAAAGCATCATCACATCGAACACAAGACTTTACATTTGAATACATTGACCTGATAATATCAAACATTTTCCCTTTAAGACCCCTATTTCTAAGACATTTCCACATTTTATCTCTGTCAACAGAATCAAAAGCCTTTCTAAAATCAACAAAGGCTACATACAATTTTCTTTTACTAAAAGCTAAACATCGCTCAATTACTGAGTATACAGTAAAAATATGATCAAAGGTTGAGTATTCCTTTCTAAATCCAGCTTGTGAATCTGGGATCAAGTCCCTCATATTTGACCACTGTGTTAGCCTATTGTTGATAATAGATACAAATGTTTTACCAACAACACTTGTCAGAGATATGCCCCGATAATTGTTAGGGTTATTTATGTTTCCATTCTTAAATAATGGAACAATTATTGATTTAGCCCATTCAGACGGAAAACATCTAGAATCAAATATCCGATTAAAGCTTTTAACTAGAAACGGCATTATCTCAGGCAAGGCAGTTTTGATCATCTCTGAAATAACACCATCCACACCAGCAGACTTTCCAACTTTAAGGCGAGATACAGCATCAACTATTTCTAATTCTGTAATAGGAGACTCAAGTAGAAACTTATCAACATCACTAAACTCGTCACATCCATTATCTGTATCTATTGTGTCATCATGTACATCATAGATAATATCGTCCTTAGACAACAAGTCCCTGAAGTGGCAAAACCATTCTGTTTGTGATATACTTGATACGGGTGGGGAGCCTCTTTGTAGGGTGCGAATATTTTGCCAAAACAGCCTAGGACTGTGGAGGGTACTATTTAGTCGACATAGCCTTGAGTTTTGCACTCCACGCTTAAAAGCTCTACAGGAACTCTTATACTTATTTCTAATTTTACAATAGCTCCTACGATTCTGCTCAGTGCGACAACGCCTAAACCGCCTAAGAGCCTTCCTTGATTCCGATCTAGCTACATTACACTCCTTTGTTAAATTTAAGTTTACGATTTAGATCACCTTGTCTAAACTGTCTCCTCATACAAGATGCTGAATCTAATATACACTTTATGAAATTGTCTATGCCCTCTTCAAGAGAAGTCTCCAATTTACTAAATATTGACTCATTATTGGCATCCAAACTTGCTTTGAGAGAACTTATAAATTCATTCTGCTTAGAAGCATCCCATACAAATTTACTAAAACTAGGAGTCTTAGCACAATCAACTGTCCGGTTAGACCGGTATGTACAAGGAAACCTGAACGACAACTCCAGAGGAAAATGGTCAGAATCAGGTCTATCGCCAACATTTAACTTTTCTACGAACTCAAACAAATCAGCAGATGCAAGAAAATAATCAACGACACTTGAGCCATTTGCTCCAACAAATGTAAACTCTCCACCTCTGTCTCCTTCTACTCTACCGTTCATTATGAACAAGCGACACACATAACACAGATTCAGTAGTACACGCCCAAATCTGTTAACGATACTGTCATGTGACACACGCTGGTCAACAGGAGCATTATCTACATCTGTATAGATATCATCATTACCAAATTCATCCCGATCTTCGCAAATAGGATTATTTTCATTACTAGTACGAGCATTAAAATCGCCACATAGCAGTACATGCGAAGTAGACATATCAGACCAGTTGTCTAATAAAACGACTCCAGTCTTCAATGAGACATCTTGTATCAGTACTTCGGTCGTAAAATGTAGAATTCACAGGGGGAACATATATACAAACAAGAAATAAGTCATTTGGTAGATTAAATACAAATCTATGGAATTTCAAACACACAAAATTGTTGATTTCAGTCTTCAGTTCAACACATTTGTTTGCAATGTCCTGTCTCACACATACACACACGCCACCTGAGTGTCTGCCAGATGTGGACAGCTTAGCTGCTGGGGCGAAAACAATTGGTATCCTGTTAACCAGTTTAGATTCATGAAATCTGTTATGAACGTTTCCAGCAAACATACAACGTGAAATGAATAAAGATAATCAATAAAATCACTGTCATCAAGTTTCTTCAATAGTCCATGAATGTTCCAAGATAAGAAAGTCACATGATTAGTTTTACCGGTGTCCATGTTCGTAGTTCCCTCAGTGAAGGGATCTGGGGCCTGGCCTGATTGCTACCTCCTCTTCTGTCCATCGCGCTGAGACTTACTTCGTTGGTGGTCTCTGTTCTCTCGGGTGTCTCCGTTTCGCGTGGAGTTTCTTCATCGCGTGGCCTTGTAATTAGCTTTCCATATTTGAAATATCCTATCAGTCCCCTTTCCTTCGCGTCCTTCAGCTGTTCACGTTGTCTGACAGTGAGATCACTGGATACGCCGTAGCCGTTACTCTTCAGTGCTGCTCGAGATTTCAAAATATCAACCTTATCCTCACTAAAACGTAACTTGGCAATGAGCGGTCTTGGTTTTGAACCATCACTACGGGGAGCGCCGAGTCGATGGGCACGGGCGACATCATTATTATTCCATGTTTTAGTCTTTACATTTTCATTCAAGACATCGATCACTTTGGATTTACAGTCGGTATAGGACTCGTGCCTCTCCTCCGCCACGTTGTAGATGATGACGTTATCCCGCCTGCTGAAGGCCTCCAGCTTGTCGAGCTCACTGTCGAACTGGGTGACCTTCTGCTCCATGCTGTCCATCCTCTCCGCTACCAGGCTGACGTCCTCGTTCATGACTTCTTGGTTATGACGTACGTTGTCCAGGTCGCTTTCAAGATTACATAACTTCATTTCCAGGTTATCGAAGCGTTTACTCAGGTCTCGGACTTCGGTAGAAAGTGTGGTGATCTGATTTCCAAGTTCATGTTTTGCGTTACGCACTTCCTTCAATAGAGTTTCCTTGACTTCTTCAAGCGTGACAGGCCCGGGATTCATCTCGATGTCGTTAGAACAAAGAATCCTGTGATGAACAACCCCAGCCGGCACAGGGTTACCACCGAGTAGACAATGGTCCAGCGTCCCTTGAGAGTGAACTGGCCAAGCTGACCATTCACTTTCTCCTGGCGATACGTCACTGACAACACAAACTTCATAAATATGTTCTTGTGGTAAATATGAATATAAATCCAAATTTTCGCAAGTGGAAATAAGAGCAAAACTCAATCCTAGATGCAATGAAAATAACGTTACACATAAGAAAAGTCTGAAGTGTAAATCAGATCCGACAACTGTTGGTGAATACTCGCCATGTTTTTCGAGTGTTACTTGCCGGGTGCCTCTAGGTTGCTTGAACAGTCCAATTCTTGCTCTGTAGACATCAATGGTAACCATTTTGTGGAATATGAGGTTTGCTGATGCTCTGTATTTCACTTTGTTACATGCTCATGTCGCCATAATGTCGAAAAGCAATTTTAATTCAACCTTTAGACATTCTAATCGGAGAGCGCTGACACTCACGTCTTGTCACCTAGGGGCAGGTAACTCTGTCGTAAAACTTTCGTGCGTGGGTGGTCAGGACATCCCGCCAATATTCTAGTACTTTTGTTAGGTCGAGTCCCTTCCGGAATTCGAACCCCAAGTCTCAGAGTTAGGCACCTAATCGCCAGCATACAAAGTCCTCGCTCTAACCCACTCAGTCATCGAGAAAATCCCACATACATTTATTAATACATATGTTTCAAAAGAAGACACTGCCTTCGAAGCACGAGATCACTCACCTGGGTGTGAGAGTCCTGTGGTCCGTGTGGGCGTGGCCCCAGGTGCCCAGATGCACTGGGGGTCACCCAGTTCTTGACCATTGGTCATCCCATCACCATCGGAGTCCATGTTACACACATTAGCCCACTGTATGGACAGGAAAAGGTTGGATTAATATGCGAATATACTGGTGATATGGATAGCCATATCGTCTAAGGGTTGCGTCCCTTATAAGTCGCCGGATCCGCTCTGATTATGATCCTTTGGCAAATGTTCTATACATTTCGTTGCTCCCACATTGCCTTAACTCGTGAAGATCCGGGTAAAAATTGATCTACAGTAATCCATGCCGTAATCAGGCAACTGACGGGATCGGGTGGTCAGGCTCGCCGACTTGGTTTGACATATGTCATTGCATCGCAATTGCATAGGGCGAAGCTCATGCTGTTGACCACTGGATTGTCTGGTCCAGACTCGAATATTTAGAGACCGCCGCCATATAGCTGGATTATTGCTGAGTGCGGCGTAAAAATAAACTCACTCACTAACTCACATTGCCTGATATAACTCAAATCCTATTCAATATAGTGTTACATGTACCTGACTTACTGATATTTTCCAGGTACGTGTTAGTCCTTACAGGGGTGGTGGGGTAGCCTTATGGGCAAAGCGTCCTCTCGTCTGGCCGAAGACCCGGGTTCGATTCCCAACATAGGCACAATGTGTAAAGCCCATTTCTGATGTTCCCCGTACCATACTCAGTTACTCACTCACTATTCCTTTGATTTTTCACAATTTCACAGACGTAAACATATGAAATGACAAACCGTGATCTTACACGGTTCATTCAAGATCCGAAGGATAACAATGTATGGACGAACAACTTTCTAAATTACACTGAAAGCGACGTTACGGTGTAGGATAACCTCTTTGAGAGGCATTTCGAAGTTGGTGCAGTAAAGGAGGCATAAACAATATATCGATAAGCAACGAAATACTTCTTTTAACAATGAGAGCGACGTTTCGGTGTAGGTTCCAACATCGTTATCAAGCAAGTGATGAACAGTATAAAGATTGAGAGGCATATATAAATGTGAGAAAGTGAAACTCTCAACAAGGCTTATGACACAAGAGATGATTTCAACTTTCCAGTAGTCAACTTCCCTTTCATGTCCAGCAATATTCCAACAGTTCCAGCCTTTGGTGTTTACATTTTACAACTTTTGAGGTACAAACGAGCGTGCTCTTTTATCAGGATTTCAAAGAGCGTCATACCACTCTTGCGTCATACCACTCAGAAGCTGTTTGATCAAGGTTACACCATTCAAGGCCTCAGTAAAGCTTTCAAGACGTAGATATGTGGAGGAAATTTCCAAACTTGATGCATTAGTGACAAAAATGATGTCCGATGCAATTCTCTATTTTGATTTATACCATACGTTCCCGAATTATTTCAAGTCAACTAATGGCTAGACTTAGCATATGTTAATGACGGTTACCACCGGTGGGGCAGGATACGCTCACCTTTTCGTTAACACCTGGTATCATCACTATATCACAGTGATAACTGCTATTGTAATGAACGATGATATACAGCGAATTGCCGAATGGGCAGAAAAATGGCAAGTATCTTTTAATCCCAATAAGACAGAGTCAATATTTACTCGCAAATTGCAACCACTGATAAGACAGTGTAAATTGGCACGACTCCCACGTCCCAAAGCTATGAATCTACACTACATTGCTTCCGTAGTAGGTCATTGACATTGAGGTGTGGGTTCAGCATGACCGGATGGAATGAACCCATTAACGACTGTGCCAAAAAGTTAGAATGGTGAATTGTCTAAGAAGTGTAATCCCAGATATAAAATATGTTGCAAACCATTTCTAAATGGCAGTTCATATTCAATGTGGAAGGGGTTTTGATTATATTCTTGTACAGTACAATGTGGATCAGGGCTGCAATAGCAAGGAGAGCCACTTAAAAGCTCATTGCTTAAGATAGATAGAAGCGTTAACACGCTGTTCGTGGTACCATCCAACAAAGGGATTAAGACAAAGAGGAATATATAAAGGTTGTAGTATAAACAAAAGAATTATGTCGTAGGTATCTGTGATGAGTTAAAATGCTATGCAGGAAGTATGTACAAAATACTTCCCCACACTTACTATATATGCCTCTAAGTAACCTTGTTCAGTTCGTCACTTATCAGATATATCGTTGGTTATAATTACAAGCGAAACGTGATTCAAATGTGACTATAAACTGTAAATCTGTAAATTATCCGAGGTAACGGCTTCCACATAATGATAAATTAAAGAAGTTATTACCAGCTGAACATAGAGAATCACCGTGATATAATCGAGATTCAAAAATGTACTTTTGAATGATTCTAATGTAAATATTGGTAGCAGATTTTGTCAAATCATACACTCTCGTCTCCGAAAATATGAAAGATTTATATCTCCAACATAATCTTGCTCTTGTGCCCCCACAACTATGAAGACTTTGCTCATTATTTCTTCTGCATGTACAAAATCAACGATATACCCATCCTCCTCTAAAGGATTTTTTTAGCATTATTTTTTTGGAAAATAGCTGTTTTGTAGTAAACAAAGAACTTTTGCTGACAGTGAACCTCCCTTGAACAAACAGACAGATTTGACCCCCGCCCTTTAAAATCATCATCACCCACCCCAGCCCATAAATTATGAACGATCCCTTATTATTTAAGTTCGACAATTGAGAACATATCTTGAAAACATAATACACTGAATATTGGAAAGTGAACATGCACATATAGGTAAGTATATCCATTATCCATAATCTAGTCAACACGTCCTCCTTGTAGAGGTGTGACGAAAGAGAAATTTTACGATACGATACGTATCGCGATATCTTGGTAGGGTACGATTCGATTCGGTGCATTTCACGATATGTTATCTTTAGTTATTTTCGTTAAAAAAGTATATTTTGAAATCAAGTAACAGTGTAAATGTTGACTTAACCGCCACATTCTAGTAACAATTAACAATTGTTAGGTCAACGATACACATCACGATACGAAAGAAAGTATCGATACATTTATTATCAGGAATGTATCCCGATTATCGATACTGCGATATATCGTCACAGCTCTACTACCTTGCAAAAAAACTTCTTATTTTCTCACCGTTCTGCCTTGATTTTCAAAATCAACACCGAACTGATTTCTGTTACCTCCACCCTGGGGATTCAGGTGCCCCACACCATGCCAAAGCTCCCCAGCCACACAAGGGTTGGGCACGTTGTAGCCATTGGGTATAATATCCCTGTATCCGCTGTACCCGTAGATCACTCCAATCCACGTGAGGAAAAGGGATAGCCTGACATAAATAGAAAGGATTAGGGCCATCTGTTGATATAGATGATAGTGCTCGATAATCGTTAACAAATTTCGATCGATTATCTATAAATATCGAAGACGTAACTTTGAGCAAACATACCCTAAAAGTCCATGGATAAAGTCCTAATTTTGTATGAGAAAATTAAGTCTTGGTGCTGCCACAAAAGTTAAAGTACGATATGGTAGATAACAAACTTTTCATATCGATAATCATTAATGCTTCTTTATATCGACGGTATTTCCGATTATCGATCATTTTACCCAGCCCTAATACTAAAATCCATCTTTTATATAAGCAAACAAAAACCAGCAACGATGAGATGAAACTAATTATTATCGAGGCTTTGGACCCTTCCATCAACGATCATCTGTTGTTGTTGTTGTTGTTATTGCTAAATAAAATAGGGCGCTGGAGTAACCTAGAGGTTAGCGTCCGTTCGTCACGCCGAGGACCCGGTTTCGATTCTTCACATCGGTACAATGTGTGAAGCCCATTTCTGGTGTCCCCCGCCGTAATATTACTAGAATTGTGCGGCGCAAAACTAAATTCACTGATTGTTGTTAAATATTTCTCTGACAGTGCTTTCAGGAAAATTAAATCCTTCAAGAGTTTCACACCGTAACATCACGTACAACCCAGTATAGACACATATAAATAACACAGTCGATATCGATAAAAGACTGACCAATATGAGTCTTGTATCACAACACAGACAGTCAAAGAAAGCTGGGTCGAACCTGAAGGTCATCCGTGAAGATCCGGGTAGGAATTGGTCTTCAGCAACTCTTGCCTGTCGTAAGAGGCGGACTAACGGGATCGGGTGGTCAGGCTCGCTGGCTTGGTTGATACATGTCATCGGTTCCCAATTGCATAGATCGATGCTCATGTTGTTGATCACTGGATTGTCTGGTCCAGACCGCCGCCATATAGCTTGAATATTGCTGAGTGCGGCGTAAAACAACAAACCAACAACAACAACGAAACTGAAGGGATTTACTTCGTGTTTATCAGAGATTCGACACAACCGGGTTAATAAGGAACATGCAGAGACTTACTTTTTACTTCGAGACAACTATAAGATCAACACATCAACACAGTTGTAAGTAAGTTCGACACAGGTGTACGGTATAAATCTGACGTATCGTGTTTACAAGGTCATAAAATTTGAGTCCAGACTAGCGGTCTCGCAAATTTTCGCCTACCTTACGGCCAACATGTTCATCGTGGTCACGCTTTACCCGCAAGCTTTAGACTGGTATCTGTTATGTCCTACTGCCTGTATGGTTCTCCCTCAAAAGCGTAATCCTTGACATAGGAACAACCAGTTTAACTTAGGTAGTGAGTACACCAACCCTTGCAGACTGGATGACAGTGCAGTATAAGTAGGTTAATATATATGGCAGTGTCAACAATGTAAAGGACTTACGCAGGCAGAGAAAATAGGACAACAACGTGAAACGCTTTCTTACATGCAACTAAAATGCGACGTAATCTATTCAACATTATGAAAGGGAGCGCGATCCATTGTGCTGAATATCCCGCTTGAATAGAAAGAGTGAGGTGGTAATGTGTTCAACGTCCTTTCACAATTATTTCAATAACAGCGACGACCGTTCACTTATAATGCGGGTGCTTGGAGGCAGGCCTAATGCCGGGGTTAGGTCTACTAATGCCTACAGAGAGAAATAGCTACACGGAATACTAGCTACAAAGTTTGTCGTGACAGCGAGACGCTTACCTGCACACAAGTGGACTGTTCCAGTTAGTGTTCACTAATGCAAACAATGAGATTAGGGTAAAGAGTAATTTTTGTCCAGTTATGTTTTAAAAACGTACATGCATTTAATTTTAGAAACTCCTTCTCACACGAGAGGGAGACTGAAGAGTAGAATGAGTGAGATTATGCAAAGTGATTAAAGATAAAAATGATTTTCTCAATAGTGTGAAATAGGTGTACAAATTGGTGTACGAAAACTGAATGAAAACCAAAAATAACACTAATGAATGACGAATAAATGGAAAGTATAGTACCCTATGGATAACAACTTCTTGCTTGACAACGGTATAAGAAGCTATACCGAAACGTCGCATCATAAGAAATAAAGAAGTTGTTCTCCATAAAGTATTATACTTTTCTGTTATCTATCAACTTCTTAAATGCCAGACGAATAAATGGTTCATCAACATAGAAAGTCTTTGTTCTGTATTTACTGTAGGCAAAAATGCACACTCAAATAGGACATACCACTTTAATGAAAGGTTGAAAGCAGTAATATTGAAAACCATTGGTGCGTAAAGTTGTTTATATAAGCCTGTAGGCTTTATTCCATGTAGGCATTCGTAGTTAGCGTTAGCCCGCTGCCATATGTTGGTCATACCCCACTTTGCTGGACGGCTGATGTGATGATAACGGTTTAAGAGTAACGGCATGATAGTTTGCCGGCTATAGTCTGTTTTCAGTGAGTAGTTGTCACCCATAGTCTCATTTGGGGGACATGAGCGTTTGGCAGACTGAGTTCAAACTCATTAATTACAAGGCACCAATTTGTTTTGAGTGGACTCTATTTCTAGTAACCAATTTGAGTGAAGTCAATTTTTATTAGCTGCATTGAGTGAAGCTTATTCAAATGATTATTTCTGAATGTAGACGTGGTTCCCTCATTGCAAAAAATGGCAAACGCACAAGTTTACAATTAGTTCATTCCAAATTCAAGGGACCGCCTCCGTGGTGTAGTGGTTAGAGCGTCGGCCCGGAGAGCGGAAGGTCGCGGGTTCGATCCCCGACCGCGTCATACCAAAAGACGTTACTTGTTGGTCCCTGTCTGGCGTTCAGCATTAATGGGTACATCAAGGACTGGTCGGCTCGGAGTCAGTATAATGTGTCTGAGTGGGGTATTCATGCTTCACTGCGGCATGGTATCTCAGTGGGCTAGCACTATAAAACCAGCTTCAGTCTGGGCTAGTACAAGCAGCCGCACCTACACATACAGACGCATGCACGTCGTCATATGAGCAAAATATTCTCAAGCACGACGTTAAACCCAATTCCACCACCACCACCACAACCTCTTGTACAGAAGGCTGGCAAGAAACATCAGGTACCATGTGTAAAGGTCGTCTAGATGGAACCACCAGTCTCTCGCTCTCCGGACAGGTGCTCTGTCCAGGAGACGGTAAAGTCTGTCCTGAATAGGGACTGAAATATGAATGACTAAATCAACTCCAAGATGGCTTGGTTCCTGGTGTATGGTTTCCCTTAGAAAGAATATCGATAAGCTGAGATTGAAGCCATTAAACGTATTAAACTTATTGTATACTGAATAATCTTGCCGCCTGCTTGAACATAAGACCTAGCTCGATGCTCATGATATTAATCACTGAATTGTTTGGTTCAAAATCTTCCAAATCTTCCAAATAAGTTCATATGAACACCACTACGATCCATTTAGAACTGATCTTCAGTAACCCAAGAACGAGGCGTAAGAGGCGTCTAACGGGACCGGGTGGTCAGGCTCGCTGGCTTGGTTGACACATGTCATCGTATCCCAACTGCATAGATCGATGCTCATGCTGTTAATCACTGGATTGTCTGGTGAAGGCTTGTATATTTACAGACAGCCGCCACATAGGTGGAATATTGCTTTGTACGGCGTAAAACTAAAGTCATTCACTGATATGAATACTGTGCGCACACAAAGCATGACTGCCATCGAGATATGGCACCTTGGGTGAACAGAATCGATAGATAGACTTTCTGGACGTTTAAGTATTATCAAAGGGTTTAGAAACTGAACACACGTCTGTGACCTCACCCATGAAGGTGACTAGGTGTGTGACCTAAAAAAAGCATGCGAGCAGTTAGAGACAGCTGGCTCGGAAGTATGTCATTGTTGACCAAGCGTGTAAACATTCAGTAGATTGAGTTTAGATGACTCATCTATAGTCCGTTTCACTTCATTTGAGACCGATGAATTGCTGACTAACAAACAATCTAATAAGTGCAAGAAAATCAAACTTTGCACAGTCACATGGAATCGACAGACCAACTGTGATGATTTGTCTCATAATTTTGGACACCCGAATAAAAAAGTTGTTTAATAAAAGATCAGTATTTTGGTGTCACTTTTCGCTATTTCTTACGAGGGAGGACCACTTGCTGGTAGAACTGTACCTGAATGTTTAAACATGCGTTTAGATTAGAGCTGGCTATCGATATAGATCGTGGAGATCGATAATCGTTAACTTAATGTTGATCGATTATTGATGAATATTGGAAACGTAACTTTGAGCAAACATGACAAAAATATCTGAAAGAAATGAATAAAATATTATATTTCACATCACTGGTGAGTGGTGATATGTTTTTGCATTGATTATTAACAAACAGCGTCCTGAACATCATTTCGAAGTAGACCATGAATTAAGTCCTAAATTTGTATATTGGGTGAAAAATGTTTTAAAATTTTCTTTCACAAAAGTTAATGTTACGATATTGTCGACAACACAATTTTCACATAGATATCACTGGTATTACCCGTGAAGATCCCGGTTAGAACTGATCTTCAGTAACCCATGCTTGTCATAAAAGGCAACTAACGGGATCGGGTGGTCAGGCTCGCTGACTTGGTTGACACATGCCATTGGTTCCCAATTGCGTAGATCGATGCTCATGCTGTTGATCACTGGATTGTCTGGTCCAGTCTCGATTATTTACCGACCGCCGCCATATAGCTAGAATATTGCTTTGTGCGGCATAAAACTCACTCACTCACTCATTCATAATTTTTTCCTATCGACGTTATTTCTGATTGGCCTTGTTTGGCTAATGAGTATGTAAATGTATCTAAAATTTAATCTCTTGCCTTAATGAAGTGTAAAAGATGGACTGTGGTCAATAATGTGTCCATACACCAGGTATGCTCATAGCGCTAACAGTCAATAAGGCATTATTGAAGTCCAAAGAACTTTTTTAGTAAAAGAACTATTTTAGCAAAAGGTTTTGAGGTGACGCTTAAAGGTGACGCTACACAGAGCAGATTAGACGAGGATGAACGCAGAGTTCTTGTTGGCATGTAAGGAGAGAGGAGTTCTTGAAGATACACAGGTAAAATACCATAAATGGACTGATAAGTAAGTGTAAGGATCTTATAGTCCATGCGAGCTTGCCAAATGAGGGAAGACCCTGGATAATATCAACATGCACATGCGTGCGTCAAGGTGTCTTTGCGAGGATTAAAGATTACAACAAATATTTAAAAATGAGATGACCTCCCGACTCGAAAAGCTTCACAGTACAATAAATCATGACTGCACTGTGAAGCATTTCGAGTCGGGGTCATCTCAAATTTTTGAATCTTTAATCATGGGAGCCTGTAGGTTATACTGATACTCGGGAATTTAAATCACAGTGTCAAAGAGGCGAGAGTAACCCATTCTTCTCTCCGACACCCCACCTCACTCTCATCCTGGTATTTCCGGATAAGATTCTGTCTTCAGTAACGCGTGCTTCTCGCAAGAGAAGACTCACACTACCGCATAGGGTGATCCGCTCTCTTGATTGATTGCATGTATCCGAAGGGCGTCGATTCGTGTTAATGATGTTAAATAGTGGATTCTCTGGGCCAAACTGCATCATTTACAGACCGTCGAGAAAAAAGCTGGAATATAGGTGAGGTGAGATGAAATGGGATTTTTACGTCGTGCTTGAGAATATTTCGCTCATATGACGACGTGCATGCGTGTGTATGTGTATGTGCGGCTGCTTGTACTAGCCCAGACTTAAGCTGGTTTTATAGTGCTAGCCCACTGAGATACCATACCGCAGTGAAGCATGAATACCCCACTCAGACACATTATACTGATTCCGGGGCGACCAGCAATTGTTGTACCCATTAATGCCGAGCGTCAGGCAGGGACCAACAAGTACCATATTTTAACATCTTTTGGTATGACGCGGCCGGGGATCGAACTGCTACCTTCCGCTCTCCGGGCGGACGCTCTAACCACTACACTACGGAGGCGGCTAGCTGGAATATAGCTTAGTGCGACGTCAAACGACAAAGAAACGTTGGTATATAAACATATGAATGCTATGAACACTTGATTTGCTATCACGTTTCATTGGACTTTATACCCATCGACAAAGTATGTACCCGAGGGGTGTGACTGACACTGCCGAGAGCAAACATAAAATACACCGAGAAATCCGACACTGCGTAACCAGCTTGTTATTGAAAAATCGGACTGACGCCCTTAAGTAATTCCGTATTTGCTGTTGGCAAATACAAAGCTCAGTTCATACATTCATGTCAGTGGCAAGGGAGTGGGGCTAAGGGGATATCAGGCCTCAGACCACAATAATTCACCTTCATTGCTATCTCCAGTGACATGATGGCTCACAATAATTAATATCGGTCATGTTCTGTTGTCCTGTTGCAGACAGACAGACAGACAGACTGGCAGACAGACAGATACAGTCCGTTTGGCTCAAAAGCGGACCGATGAATTCCAATCTACCTCGAAAACTAATAAACATAACATACTCAATGAAACGCTGATCATAATCAAAACATCATACCCACTCTGTGAGGTTTTTGCAGAATTTTTGTCCTAAAAATAATAAAGTTGTTTAACAATCTGTCATTAAAATATTGACACAGTTCACTGTTTGTTACGAGGGAGGAGTGCAGAGAAAGGGACAGCAAGGTGTTCGAGAAGCACGTTCACAGACAAAGTTATTTATTCATTTACCTGTGCTGTGCCGTCTCCATCCGTTCTCGAACACCTGGCTGTCCCTTTCTCTGCACTCCTCCCTCGTAACAAATAGTGAACTGTGTCCCATTGAGCTTGGGATGAAATCATCGAAGGCTGAGGTCAATTCGTTCCTCTTTGAAGTAGTTCTCATGTTCCTACGCCAACGTGAAATCCTTCCAGAGGGGCACTAGTCACTAGTTTGCTTGTCACGAAGTAAGAAGCGTTGGTCAAGAATGCCCTTACGACAAGCTTTGATTCTAACCCGGATATTCACGTTGAGGTAAAAATAAAAACTGAAGAAATTCAATAAAAACAAGTTATTAAATATCAAGAATCGTACCCTGTATTCATGATAAACCGCTAGCGTTGTATGGCTAACACGTTCTTGCACATGGTCTCCACCAAACCTGACCGCGTCCGCCTGGAGAGCGGAAGGTCGCTGGTTCGATCCACGACCGCGTCATACCAAAAGACGTTAAAATATGGTACTTGTTGGTCCCTGCTTGGCGCTCGGCATGAATGGGTACAACAAGGACTGGTCGGCTCGGAGTCAGTATAATGTGTCTGAGTGGGGTATTCATGCTTCACTGTGGCATGGTATCTCAGTGGGCTAGCACTATAAAACCAGCTTAAGTCTGGGCTAGTACAAGCAGCCGCACATACACATACACACGCATGCACGTCGTCATATGAGCGAAATATTCTCAAGCACGACGTTAAACCCAATTTCACCTCACCTCACCTCCACCGAACCAATAGATCACGAACGTAAAGCTAAGGTAGGAGGGGTTGTTTCCCTTCAACTGCACGAAGCGCATGATCGTCTCTTGACAACTGTGTTGGGCAAGTAACTATAGCATCAACTACGTTAAGAGCACCATCATGTTATTGTAAGCTCACACAAATGTAACATCCATAATGTCTGATATTATTTATCAAACTCATACGAGTGGTGCGTGCGTGTGTACGCGCATACAGCTCCTTGTACTGGCTCATTCGTGGCCAACTCGTGTTATTCCGGGACAAGCCGAATAGCTTCTTTGAGTTTACGGAAAGGGGCGAGTAGTGACGAATGGTACTGGCTGGAACAATATCTGTTTTATAGGTGAAGGTCACCGAGAAACTGTGCCGCATATTAACCCACTCTTGCATAGTATGCTCGTACAGACCAGTGCCTGTTAAAACCCTTCTACCCAGCACCAGGTCAAGTAACAACATACCCGTGAAGATACGGTTTAAAATGAGTCTTTAGCAACTCATGCTTGTCGGAGGCGACTAACGGGAGCGGATGGTCAGCCAACTAATGTGGTTGATGCATATCGTATGCCATTGCTCATGATGTTATTCGCTGTATAGTCTTGTCCAGACTCGATCATTTACAACCCGCCGTCATACACAATTCAAATTGCTGATTGCAAGGAACCAACAAACCAGCAAACGTTTAGAAAACACGAAAAATGATCCATGTCCTTTTACAGCTGAATTGACAATTCGTCCGAAATCTAGCTCGAAATCACCATAATGATAAGTTCCAGGGCCCCGTTTCACAAAGATATCGTAGCGCTACGACTGTCGTAAGTCTTTGTTTGTCATTAATAGGACCACCACTAGTAATAAACAGGGCCTAGATTTTTGAAGCTCTCTTAGCGCTAAGAGAGTTTTAAGTGCCATACCTTAACATTAACTTACGACTATCTTAGCGCTAAGAGAGCTTAAAAAATCTACGCCCTGGTTATTACTAGTGGTGGTCCCATTAATTACGACTGCTTTGTGAAACAGGTCCCAGGGCTTATCACCATACTGTTAGGTTCTACGGCCCCGTTTCACAAAGCTCTCGTAAGCCTAAGATCTCGTAACTTTGCTCGTAGCATTCGTACTTCCTGTAACGTAGGAGGTACGAATGCTACGAAAACAGTTACGAGATCTTTGGCTTACGAGCACTTTGTGAAACGTGGCCTAGAGCTTTATCACCATATATTTACATTGTCTTAAATATCGCTGTGCTTTTATGTTCCACGGCCCCGTTTCACAAAGTACGACTGTCGTACCTCCTACACTGTAACATAGGCTAGACGGGACCAAAGACTTTATCACTGTACTGTTTCACTTTCAATGATTTATAACTGTACTGTTTTAATTACAATGCCGTATCGCTGTGCTGTTAAATTCCCGGGCTTCATCACTGTGCTGTTCACTCATAACGATTTCACTTCACTGTTCACTTACAATGTTTGATTTGCTTGATAAAATAAAGATTTTGTGTAACATGAAACATTTATTAAAGTGTCCCCAATGATCTATTATTTGAAATTCTGCAATCATTTAGTATTGTTAATTAATGTCAGAGTACACTTAATAAAAAGTTAGTGTGCTGGGTGTGTTTAGTTTTACGCCACGTTTAGCAATATTCAAGCGTGACGTAAAAAACGCTTTAACCACAACGCCATCCCATCGCCCCTAGTGTGATGCCCAAGATATATTTGAACTTGTACAATTTGATCATTTTCATGCAGTTTTTTCTTTTAATTTCCTGAATATATCTTCAAAATTCAATATTATAGAGCTGGCTATCGATATAGATCATAGAGATCGAAAATCGTTAACTTAATATCGATCGATTATCGGTAAATATAGGAAACGTAACTTTGAACAAAAATGAAAAAAATATCTGAAAAAACCCGAATATATTTTACATCACTGGTGAGTGGTGACATGTTTTTGCATGGATTATTAACAAAATAGCGTCCTGAAGATAATTTAGAAGCAGACCATGATTTTGTAAATTGTGTGAGAAAATAAAAACTTGTTTCTACCACAAAAGTTCCTGTATGATATTATCGGTAACACATTTTCATATCGATAATCATTAATATTTGTTCATGTCAACGATATTTCCGATTATCGGTCATTTTAACCAGCCTTACAATATACAATAGGCTTTGGAGAGTTCCGAAGGACATACACGGAACTAACACACAGAGAGTCATCTACAGAAATAAAACTGCACAGATCGCAAGAACAACTGTTGACACAAGAACATCGGGAGATGTTGTTCCGCTGGTGTGAGCCGGGAAGCTCCCCGTTGTTGTCGTCCTTCCTGCATGAGCAGGATCCAAAAGCAGCTACAAATTTGGCTGTTTTGAGGTCTGGGTTTCTGGACCTCAAAGTCAACAGGTAATCCTGCATTACCCCCTTGGCAAGACAAGGATGCTTCTCAGCCTCAGCAATTGCTGCAGGACATTCTTGACGACATCCTCCGTAGGGACTGCAGTTGTCCAGCACCTGGAGAAAGACAGAGTGATGTGAAACATTTCTGATTCATTGTATTCAATATATATATATTCAAGTATATAATTTGGTATTGGATTTTTGTACCCCCCATGGGTGAGGTGAGGTGAGGTGAGGTGAAATTGGGTTTAACGTCGTGCTTGAGAATATTTCGCTCATATGACGACGTGCATGCGTGTGTATGTGTATGTGCGGCTGCTTGTACTAGCCCAGACTGAAGCTGGTTTTATAGTGCTAGCCCACTGAGATACCATGCCGCAGTGAAGCATGAATACCCCACTCAGACACATTATACTGACTCCAAGCCGACCAGCACTTGTTGTACCCATTAATGCCGAGCGCCAGGCAGGGACCAACAAGTACCATATTTTAACGTCTTTTGGTATGACGCGGTCGGGGATCGAACCCGCGACCTTCCGCTTTCCGGGCGGACGCTCTAACCACTACACCACGGGGGCGGTCTGTACCCCCCATGGCAAATAGTGAGTATGCGACTTTAGTTTTACGCCGCACTCAGCAATATTCCAGCTATATGGCGGTCGTCTGTAAATAATTGAGTCTGGACGAGCCCATGGCAAATAGAATCCGTAGTAACAGTTCGCATGGGTGAAACATTGTGAAATAGGTTGGTCGGTGGTTTGATTTAACGCATCAAGCCAATCAAATTGTGATCGTATACATTTAATGACTTCACTATAGTGTCAATTCGTATGGTGGCATGACTGTAGGACTTTGCAAACAGTGAATTTGGTTCATTTCTGTGTAATTCATTATCATTGACTGCGTCACCCATGCAAACAGGTGAGTGAGTGAGTGAGTTTAGTTTTACACCAGGTGAGTAAGTGAGCTTAGTTTTACACCGCACTCAGCAATATTCAAGCTATATGACTTCGGTCTGTAAATTAGACCAGACAATCCAGTGATCAACATCATGTGCATCGATTTACGCAGCTGGGATACGATGACATGTGTTAACCAGGTCAGTGAACCTTGTATGTACAAACCTGACCACCCGATCCCGTTAGTCGCCTCTTACGACAAGTTTGGGTTACTGAAGATCAGTTCTAACCGGGATCTTCACGGGTTGCAAACAGGTGACTTTACGGGTAATTCTGATTACACTGATGTACGTGCGACTGTAACAAGCCACCTCATTTGTTTTCATGATAATAAGAAATATCTGCCAAAAGTGTCTATTGTTCGATTCCGATAATCTCTCGGGCATGTGTTTATGAATTGCTAAAACAAGGAGAAACACGAAACGGTAATAACGCATGGCTACTGGATGCATCTATCACAAACACATGCAAAGTCAAGTAAATTATTCACCTGGAGTGAGTGAGTGAGTTTAGTTTTACGCCGCACTCAGAAATATTCCTGCAATATGGCGGCGGTCTGTAAATAATCGAGTCTGGACCAGACAATCCAGTGATCAACAGCATGAGCATCGATCTGCGTAATTGGGAACCGATGACATGTGCGAGCCTGACCACCCGATCCCGTTAGTCGCCTCTTACGCCAAGTATGGGTTGCTGAAGATAATTTATAACCCAGACCTTCATGGGTTAACCTGGATATCACGGGGCTATATTGAACGATTCAAATTTGAGTATTGCACTGTACATAATTTTGGTCACTGCATGTTACAAGCATATTCTACACAATTCTACTCTAAAGGATATTTATTAGAAGTAATACATAACTTACCGAATATGTAATAATATGATTTACCGAAATAAACTACTACTACTATAATGATCATAATAATAGTGATATGTGCCCAGTTGGTGGGTACTGCAGCTTACCTTGTCCATAACCATTTTCGTGTGGGGGTGTGAATTGTTGTAGAAATCAGCCAGTTTGCAGCCCATAAGAGCTCCACGTTCTATGTCACAGCGGTTGATGGTCTTCCACGTTACACAAACGTTGTTCGTGCTGGCAGTTTTAGGGTAGTAGACGAATATACCAAAACACATCTCGTCACTTGTGGCAGAACCGTAGAAGGTGGTTGTCTTAGAAGACACGGATCGGAATACACAGGTCGTCTTCAGGGAATCACCAGGATGAACGGCAACTGGGGGATCATATCTGTTGGGAATACAATGGATCAGTGCAGGTCAATTGAAATTTATGCCTTGCTGAGGCACACTCCGGCACAGCGATGACTTAACATAACATCACTGCCACAGGCTAATTTGCACATCACGTGACCGGACTTTTCTCTTGTTTGTAAACAAACGCGCATATTCATAATAAGAAGAGACTGGACCCACGAAAGCTTTTCGGCGCTCTCTTCATAATGTTTTACATTGTTACATATATATTCTTCCACAACTGCGACACTAAGGTCTATGACAGTACATATTTAGATATCAAACTGGCTGCGTCGTTTGCTCTCCATCAGCTTCGATGACAGCTCGTGGACCCGTTCAACCAAAGGATCGCTACGCAAATCAAAATAGTGTTACATGTTTTTGGATATTTTTTCAGTGAAACTAAACCATTCTATTAAAGATGTTTAGTTAGATGTGTAGACTCGTCAAAAATAAAAGAGTAAACGAAATCTGTACATTATATTGAATGGACATTGCAAGATGTGACGAATCGTCACATTTTTTGTGGCCTGTGGCAGAGGTACTATGCTGGCTTGCCGCATGGAACTCTGGGTAGGAGAGTGTTGCTGAGGTACAAGCACTACCTTTTGTCACGTTTTGATAGTGTGTGCGAATGTTTTTTACATTGCCTTTCGCATTATCCTAGCCATAGCACGAAGGACAAGACCAGTTAAGGGCACCACACACGGTCCAAATGCACGATTATAACGCTATATATTTATTACATACCCCTTTCGAGACACAAACTGTTTTTATCGAACTCTAAACATCGCTCCGCACAAAGGACGTGTCACAGATGTATTACTCCGCCTCAAGTCATCAATCAAGATTCCGGTTCCGATCGATCACGACATAAACAAAATATACACAAACAACTTAATTAAGCACCCTTTTTTGCAATTATAGGTTTTCAAAACGTACATAAGGCCTCTCGTGGTGACCACGATGGAAGAACATGAGTTTTCCTGACTCGTATGATCCTTTGACTCATAAAAAACCGACAAAATGAATGGAATCCCTTTTATGATGATAATTGCTCATTAGAAAACTTTGATTTTCATACAAAACCATGTCTGTACATATATGGCACTGAAATGTTTAATGTTGAATTTATTGGTGAAAGTGAACATTCAAAATGTGATATTGCGTGTCTTACAAAGGTCAATACCGAGCGTGACTCCATGCGACTGCATGACAGCCAGCACTCTCCTCCTCATACTCCCTGTCATCCTCCTGATCCACTGCAGCGGAAGTCTACGCCATTAGTCATGTAAAGCAATTGGACCAGCTTCTGTATAGGAGGAACCCTTTGTTTCACACGACGACCATGTCAGATATGCTCCAAAGGGTTCAGATCGGGCCTCATTCAATCGTGAGATATGTCAGGGGGTGCTTAACTAAGTCCTTTGTATACACTTTAGTACTTGACACAAAATAACTTCCGGTTAACAACCATAATGTTTCAAAGACTTCACTTGGGGCACAATAGATATCGCTACCACAAGAAAAATGGGTGTGTAATAAAGATGAAAAAAGGGGACCATATTGAAGAAAAACGTCCTTAAAAACAGCCACCGCCTAGCGGCCGTTCAACATTTAATATTTGTTGCGTTTTCGTTCGGAATAAGATGTTGTCGGAATGACAATGTCATGCTGTAATACTGTACTGTACTTCTTTTCTTTTCTTAAAAAAAATAAATGTAAAGCATCTAATTTTTAAACATTTGTCCCCAATCGCGTGCTCTCCGTACAGGTATTCATTCCAGAGTCTTACACCACGCTTGTTGGATCGTCGTAGCTGTAGTTGAGATCTTTGGTGAGATATCTTCTCGAGTCTCCGCTGAAGAGTTCCACCGTCTGTGCGATGCCTGGAAGGAGGAGACTCAAGTTAAATAGTAACATACGCAGGACATAATTATACGACTACAGTGTGGCTCGGGCATTCACTAAAAATTTCCTAGCGAGAAGCTGAACCCTATGTTCGTGGATTCCATTTGCACAGCAATACATATATGTGTCTGTGTTTTACTGTGCTCTTTGGGTTTCCACAAAGTGCTACGCCATTTCCTATCATTCTCAAGATGATTCGAAGTTATGTGAGGGAAGTAATGTTCTAACTCACGCACTTCATACTTCCAAAGACCACGCAACTAGGCTTTGAACAGCTTTCAATAATAGCAGGACATGTCAAATTAATCTGTGAGGAACTCTCAAAGTAACAAACATCAGTGGTGTTAACCAATTGGTAAAAGAGTACACGAAACAGTAGACAAAGATCGTGAAAATCATATTTGAACCCCAAACCAGTAGATCCTAGTGCTACTAAGGGATGCAACAGTAGAGCCTAAAGTGACTCCAAAGGACACAGCGTGTTTTTCTTTCCCTTTGCAAAACACATGACATCAACTGAAGTGTGGTGTTCATGCTTCGGGTAAATCTAGGATCGAGCCTTAGGTCAGGATGCTTGCAGGCCTATGCAACTCTACACAATGACCGACAGTGCCTTACGCCAACTGGCCACATATTAATCACTGAAGGATGAAACCTACCTTTGTAATGCATATGGTTGTAACCCGAGATGAAATGTATGGTCTCTTTCAGGATCTTCTTGGTGCACCGTGATGGACACATAGATTCGACCACAGTCCTGCTCCGTCCAGGCGGGATCACAAGGTTGCTTTCACCTGTCCAGAACACTCCCGCGTCGTAAGGTCGAAGGTTGGGGGTGTAGAAGATGCTGAGGCCTGAGCCGTCCATCTGTCCAGATGTCTTTTGCGGGTTGTTCCAGTGAAACTTAAACAATAATAACACATACAAAAACTTACTTGTGCATACGCTCAATTGATGGCGTTATACAGCACTGTCACCTGACACACCCAGGCACCATGAACAACGCTTAAGCATGAACAACGCCATAATCTTACGATGGCATACAATCTATTTAGACTGTCTGGACAACGATTGGTCTTTCGATGACATCATTTCAGTTGACATTCTGTCTGGTGATGAATAGTTTTTTCCCAAATCCATTTCCTCCTTTTCGTGTCCATTCTTCCAATGATAATGTTACACACTGAATTAACTCTCGTCTAAAATACATGTAACAGGTGCCGTGAACAGAAATACAAAATGCTTTTCAAGTTGTAATGCCCATATGTAATAGGCTGCTCACCATTTTGTGGGCTATATTTTAATCCCTGACAAAGGTTTATATTGTGAATAAGGGAGAAGCCATCTGGGATTTTACGACAAACAGGTAGGTTGCAGTACGATGAAGCTTGGCTACACGTTACATCATGCAAAGCCATGTTCTACAAGATGTTCCTGGAGCGTGAATAATATAATGAGCATAAATGGCTTAAAAGCATAAGTGGCAGCCGCGGTGACTGAGCGGGTTAGGCGGCTGACTTTGTGTGCAGGCGCTTAGAGTGTGTGGGACTCAGCCCAACAAAAGTACTAGAATCTGTACTTTACTAAGAAAGTGTAATCCCAAATATATCATTTGCTTCATCTGACCACTTTGTAAATGGCATTGTGTTTTCATAAATGGCGTTCCTGTAGGCAAATGAAACTGCAGGTTGTTCCTGAAGTTTGAAATATCTTGACAATTTGGGACACCCATAATTATCTGTTACTCTGCATCAGTTCCAATGTTTGTCAATTTCAGATTCAAGAACACACAACCCTTGTCTGATGTGATATCAGGAACTATGCTCTTGGGATCTTATTGTTTGTAGATTTCTCCATCAGCAGAAGCTGCTGGTTGGTAGTCCCCTTGCTCAGAAGGGTTCCTGAAGAAGATGTAACAAGTCTTCATTATGAATGGTGCCATTTGGGCTTTAGCCTTTCTTGTTATCATCGAAGTTTTGGGAATGCCATAGTATAGTTGTGCCATAGTTGTCATCCAATTCAGTTTTGTTTAGCGGTATTCTTATCCGGGACACCGGATGTTCCTTTTTCCAGTGCTATGGCCTTATGGTATATTTGGTATATTATGGTACTATATCAAAACAGTACATAAACTTGTGACAGTGGTTCGTGTCGATCACATGAGATGGGATAGAACGTTTATAATTACGTGCAGGATTATCACCTGCCATAACAGACAAATACATAGATCGGATGATCAGACTAGGTGATCCGACGGATCAGTCTCTTATTGGCTGGAGATATATATGTGTATATATATATATATACTTATTTATTTATTTATTCCTCTATAAGAGATTGCAGTGATACTGCTGGAGATACATTAAATGATGAATACAGTGAACATTGAAATGTGATAAAGGCAACAATGTCTCAAATGCGATAATGCGACAACCGTTATGTAGGTACACGTTCAGGGCATACAGTCCTCTGACGATCACTTTATAGTAGTCCATGATTGTCTCAGAACCCATCTCTATGGGAGGCTTACATGATTGGCAGTCAGGTCATAGTCTGTTTTGGCGTGCAGTTTGGCACTACACTCTATTGGTGCGACACATATGATTTTGCACAATAACTCCTTTCGGGAGTCCTCTAAACTGGTACAGTGACATATCTGGATGAGGAGGTCTCCATTTGTCCGCACATCCCACATGGTCCACAAGCAGTTCCTGGTCTCCATGCAGCTCAAACCTTCACTACGAATCTGGCAGCAGCCTTCAGAGAAGGACACACTTTGGCAACCTTCAAGGCCATGTGAGGGGTTATGTCTGGGTGAATGTCCAGGAAGTGACGTACGTCCGGGTCCGCAGCTAACCTTAGCTTCCACGCTTCTAGTCCATACAGCCTTCACTTTCCTTTTCCATAACTTCTGAGGCATAAACGAACCGGATATAACAAATCATTCAAAGTCATCTACTAGTCCATACTTTGAAAGTACCATGTATATGTCCTGGACGATGCTGGACTAGAGAGTACTGTCAAAAAAAACTTCTTTGGAAGGAGATGGTTTGCACAGTGACAAAGATGCCCCAGGAAGAACAATTTTCCTGCATTTATGCTGGCTTCTATTGGGAGCCAACCAGGATGGAATTAGCTATGTCCGTTCTGGTGCGTCGAGGAAGACATTGTGCTAGTTTCGGGGCAAAACTTTGAGCTCTTTCACGAGCAATAAGCTCATGTGAGAACAGTTTCTACCAGAGATATGGTATACCCATGAACCATGCGTTAAACACCAAACCGGTTTAGGTTAAGCAGAGAGGACTCATTTACAGTAAACGTTGTCTATAACGGACTGAGGAAATAAGGAACTGACTTTTGGCCCTGCTTCACTTCATGCATACTTCAGTCAAAAGTTTACTGAACTTTCATTTAAATAGTTACGTTATGAATTGGAATACAACCTCAAGCAGGAGCCTCTTGTAGCCGGTTTTGCCCATTCGGAACCCAGTTTCCTTGTAGAGGCATTGGCCAGGTATACCAACAGCCCACAAGCCTATTACGTCCTGGCAAGCAGGAACTGACATCCCACATTCTCTTGGACTTGCAATGACAGGCGCTGAAAGGAAGAAAACCATACCGTCATTAGAGCTGGCAATCGCTATAGATCAAAGAGATCGATAATCGTTTCTTAAATATCAATCCATTATCGGAAACGTAACTGTGATACAATGTAATGGAGCTGGCTATCGTTATAGATCAAAGAGATCGATAATCGTTTCCTAAATATCGATCCATCATCGGAAGCGTAACTGTGATGCAATGTGATGGAGCTGGCTATCGCTATAGATGATAGAAATCGATAATCTCTCCTAAATATCAATCAGTTATCGGAAATGTAACTTTGAGCAAAAAAGACAAAAATATCTGAAAGCAATGAATATATTTCACATCACTAGTCAGTGGTGATATGTTTTTGCATGGATTATAAGTAAAACAGCATCCTGAACATAATTTAGAAGGAGACCATGATTAAAGACCTGTATTTGTATGTTGTGTGAAAATTAAAACATTTTTGCATTGCAAAATAAATGCACAATATAATCGATAACACAATTTTCATATCGATATTAATTAATAATTTATTTTTCCTATCGACGATATTTCCGATTATTGATCATTTTAGCTAGTACTAACCGTCATTATCAGCCAAATATGTCAATTATATTTTTTGTGCATTCAGTTGTGTTTTTAGAATTTGTCAGTACACTAGTACTAAAGAATAAGCTGGTGGATATTGGACGCAGATGGTACTGATAAACTTCCAGTTATGCGGGGACGATCTGAGAACAATCGTGTCAGGACAAAAAATCCAGTGATCAAAATCATGAGCATCATGGGATACGATGACTTGTGTCAACCAAGTAAGCGAGCCTGACCACCGTTCCCATCTGTTGCCTCTTACGACAAGCATGGGTTGCTGAAGATCATTTCTAACCCAATGTGCATCTGACCATGATGCATCTGAACACTTTTGCTACTTTCTTTTTGTTAAGTGTTATTTTGCTATACATGCAAATGTTTTGACTTACGTTTTGACGATTCGGCAGTGCCCCATAGGAAGGTATTTTATGACGCAATTTCGAACGTGTTTGTTTCTGAATAACCATACAGATCACTCGACAGCTCGTTCACAGACCGATACCATAGTCAATTCTCTAACTTTATAGAAACAGAAAGGGTGAAGAATTCTCTGTATACTTCTTGGTAAAACTGGCAGTTATGTTTGACGATAACCGTTCAGTAGAATATGGTGCATGAGTACATACTACCATAACGAAAAACAAAAAGGAGAATGAAGTACTTGAATAAATGACACCATTACGACAATCGTAAAAGAGGCATTCGTGACCAACTCGTGATATTCCGGGACAAGACAAATAGCGACTCGTGCCCCTCTCGAAGGATTTCATATTGGCGTATGAACATCAGAACTACTTCAAACAAGAACGATAACTCTATCCCTGTTTGATTCCAATGGTACTTGATATCACCGAAGAATATGTACATGTGTAGATGTGAAATATAAACCCAATATTAAAGACTAAAGTTGATTAGTTATCATATTATTTTTTCGTAGCGAGGTATTTCCTAACAATGTTGGGAAGCCCACGTACAATCTCTAAAACAAGCCCGCAAGATCGTCAGAAATACACTTAATTGGGGCCCATGAGAGCCGTTATGTCAGCAAAAGCACACGCGTGTATTTGAATCTCTCGCCGTCAATCGCATGATTCTTATTAAATATGATTCTTGTTAGGCAGCACAATTCTTTTAGCTACGTTCTTTGTACTTTCAATATGACGATGTATATATTTCATTATTTTCTAAACCATGACGTAATGCCTTAAAGGATTTATTTGCTTAGGAATATTTTTATCAAACCACCGCCATCATTACGCGCGTTCTGACGAGTCGGGCACGAGTCTTCTTGGAGGTTACGCAAAGGGGCGAGTGGTGACGAAATGAATGCTCAAAGAAGACTCGTCCCCGTCTCGATGCTTGTTATGTGCGCAAATACGACAAACCAATCAGAACGTGCGTAATGATTGGTTTGTCGTATTTTCGCACATTTGTGACTCTTAAACCGTATTTAGAAATATATATTTGGAAATATAAGTTGAAGAGCTGGTAATAATTACCTTACAATATGTCTTAAACAAATATGTTCTCCCGCTTCTTTTAGTTGTATCAAAGAGGTATAATACTTTAAGATGAATATAAAAAAAAACAGCAATACGATGTAGGAGTGCTTCGGTGATATAAGTACCAGTGGAAAGAAAAAACAGAAATACAGTTATCGTTCTTGGTTAAAATAGTTCTCATGTTCATGCACAAATATGAAATCCTTCCAGAGGGGCTTGTTCCGGAATAACACGAGTTGGTCACGAATGGATATTGTACCTGACTACACACTGCCATTACGACAACCGTAAATGAGAATATATCACAAACCGTTAAGCAGAATATGGTCCATGAATACATACCGCCATCACGACAGCCGTAAAGAAGAATATGGTGCATGACGTCAACGTTGTCAATTTCCGCTGTGGTGGCAATCATGTGATAATCCTGTGATTCGTCCATGTCAAAGGTCATGCAAATGTACGTGGTTTCTTTGTCGGGAACAGCTGTCCGTGGAATGCTGAGAACCCGTTTCTCGACTCCTGCAATGGTAAATAGAATACAGAAAACCGATAACTGGCTTTGTCTTTCTCACTATCTCTCTTTAACTCTCTCTCTCTATCTTTCTCACTCTCCCTTACTCTTTTGCTTCTCTATGTATATCTTACTCTCTCACTCTTTATATATACAGTCGAGCACCGTTGTCTCGATATTCATGGGACCATGAAAAGATATCGAGTTTTCCGAACTTCGAGACATCCGACCGGGGCCTATCATCACATCACTATGAAAGAAAACAAAACAAACAATTCTCAGCATGTTTTGATTCGAAACTATATTCCGTTATCAGTGGTGTTTAGTCGTAACAATGAGTACTTCCTAATTAATTCAACTCAATTAGCCCTAATTAGTTTTCACTACGTATACCGCATCCCTTTGTGGAAACGTGAGGAATCAACTTCAGTTCAGAGGGATGCTTGCCCATGAAAGGTAGGTGAATATCGAGTTTCTTTGCAAATATCGAGTTAAAAGGGTAAGTTTGCTTGTTGGGACCATATATGCAATTATATTGAGATATCCGAAATATCAGAGTTCGACACAACGGTGCTCGACTATCTATCTATCTATCTATCTATTCTATCTATCTATCTATCTATCTAATCTATCTATCTATCTAATCTATCTATCTATCTATCTATCTATCTATCTATCTATCTATCTATCTATCTATCTATCTAATCTATCTAATCTATTTCCTACCTTTTTCTGTAGCTTCAGGGCAGTTGAATTTAGAACTTGTACATGGAGCTGTGACTAGTCCAGCACAAGTTTGGCTTGAAGATTTATCACAATAGCCTGAAATGAAATCTCCGGTCAGCACACGTAAATTGACGAATTGGTACAATCAGCAATGCCCCCCCTCCCCCATCGCCGCATAACATCACAAATGCTAACACATCAAATGTGCATAGGTATGTATTGAAATGCATAAAGACAAGAGAAATCTTAAAATGGGATATATACTGCTCACAAAAAGTAGGGGCTATGGAAAAGTGGAGACAAATAAAAGCAATCGTATGTTTAATTGTCATTGGGAAACAATGTTCATGTGGAGGATATCTATCAACAGTTTTCAACAAATTAACTTTGAAATTGATGCAGATGTTCTTTGTAGACATTGCGAAGTTCACGGGGGGGGGGGGGGTAACCCAAATGTCACAAACTGGTCAATATTGGGCGCAAATAGGCCTTTTATTGGCCCACGTCGCCCTAAAACTATAAAACCAACCAACCAACTGGTTAATAACGGGTTGGCCCACTATTAGTTTGCCAAACAAGCATGACATCACCATCTCATACTCCTAATGAGGTGACCAATGTCAACTTGAGGAATCCTCTTCCATTCCTCTTGGAGTGCCACGCCCAGTTCTGCCAAGTCCTGACGTGGGGGTGGGTGGGTGGGGAGTTTGCCGCCCCTGCACACGTCGTCCGAACATATCCCATACATGGAATTTAGTGCTGCGAAATAAACTGAGGGGCAAAAGAAACGTCCCCAAAGTAAAATTGTAAAAAACAGTTCTTCTGTTTTCGTTATGACGGAAATTTAGTTAGGAACACATCTCCCGAACGCATCCCCACGTCTCACAGAAAGGAAATCCACGTGGAGTTTTTTGTAAGCATGAAAATTGCTTTTATTCACGTTTTTAGCATGCTTCTGTGGAAACATACCCGTATGAAAGTACAGTATAAAAATTATGCTCGACTGTTCGAATTCATCACTTCAATACGTTGGACACAAAGAACATGCCTCGACTCACGGCAGAACAGAGAGAACGAGCTATTGGGATGTTGCAGCTGGGTGCTTCTCACAGTCACGTTGCAAGAATCATGGGTTGCAGCAAGAAAACCATCACCAGACTGATGACACGCTTCAGAACAACAGGTCGGACTGCAGACAGGCCTAGGACAGGGAGACCACCCGTAACCACCCCTCAGGAAGACCGCCATTTACGGGTGCTTCACTTGCGCAACAGATTCCTGACTGTGACGTCATCAGCAACAACCAGCCTTACCCATCCAGTCAGTAGAAGGACCATATCCAGACGACTCCGCCGATTCGGTATCAGAGCCTACAGACCATTCCGGGCGTGACGTTAACGCGTGAACATCGACGTCGTCGATTGGCTTGGGCACGTAGAGTTCGGCAGTGGCAGCCGCGGAACTGGCGCCGGGTACTCTTCAGTGACGAGAGCCGCTTCCAGTTGAACAAAGCTGATGGTCGGGTACGAGTCTACAGACGTCGGAACGAACGCACAGCACGTTGTTGCGTTCAGGAAGTTGAGACGTTTGGCGGCGGTAGTGTGATGGTGTGGGGGGGGAATTTGTGGCGAGAGGAAGACTGACTTGTTGGTGATAGAGGGAAACCTGAATGCCCGTCGATACATTGATGTTGTTTTACGACCTGTCGTGTTACCCTTCCTCCAGCAGAATCGAGGCGTGTTGTTTCAGCAGGATAACGCTACTCCCCACACTGCTGTTGTTACCCGGAACTTCCTGAACAACAACAACGTAAACGTCATTCCTTGGCCAGCAAGATCCCCCGATTTATCACCTATTGAGCACCTATGGGATCATCTCGGCCGTCAGGTTAAGCAACGTCAACATCCCCCACAGACAAGAAACGCTTTGGCTCAAGCTCTACAGGAAGAATGGCGTCGCATCCCAGGTCACGTGATCAGACGTCTTGTGCACTCTGCACGACGTCGTGTGGCAGCATGTATCGCTGCAAGAGGTGGACACACTCGCTACTGAGGAGTTGGACACTCAAAGACACTCTGTCAGTACTGATGTGCATGTGTTGTCATGATCGAAAACCGGACATTTGAACCTCCTGTGAAAAACGTCACAAAAAACTCTACTTACAGCAAATTGTTTCAATTGTTCTGTAATGACAGTCTGCATAATGTGTTCAAAAATTATATCAAACATTTCAACATTGAATTGCACGTGTTTGTATCATTTTATGATACAAAAATGATCGGGGACGTTTCTTTTGCCCCTCAGTTTACATTGCAAGTTCTTGAAGTGTACCTATTCATAGAAACACCATGCATGTGAAGTTGGTCTTCAAGTTTCTTCCTGCTTACAAAATAGATAACATGCAAGACAATTCGTTCAAAGCAGTTGATCTTAGAGACGAGGGAAAACAAATTATTTATATATAATATAAGTATAGTGAATGAGTGAGCATGGTTTTACGCCGCTTTTAACATTATTCCAGCAATATCATGGCCTTCACACATTGTATCCATGTGGGGCAAAAACTCGGGTCTTCAGCGTAACGAGCGAGCACTTTGACCACAAGGCTACCCCGCCGTCCATATAAGAATAGAATTTTAGCTATGAAATTGAAGACACAAAGAACGCTGTCTCCTATCAAGTGCCGTGGCACAAAAGTACTTACCTGGGTGTGTGAGTCCATTTGTCCGTGTGGGCGTTGCTCCAGGTGTCCAGATGCACTGGGGGTCACCCAGTTCTTGACCATTGGTCATCCCATCACCATCGGAGTCCATGTTGCACACATTAGCCCACTGTATGGACAAGAAAGGAATGGGTAGAATACTTGTGAATATGTTGACATGGGTGGCAACTGACATAAGATCGTTACCTTGATTTGTCCCTGCCATGCTCAGTAAGTAAGTAAGTAGGTAAGTAAGTAAGTAAGTAAGTAAGTAAGTAAGTAAGTAAGTAAGTAAGTAAGTAAGTAAGTAAGTAAGTAAGTAAGTAGGTAAAGTAAGTAGGTAAGTAAGTAAGTAAGTAGGTAAGTAAGTAAGTAGGTAAAGGTAGGCAAGCAAAGTAAGTAGGTAGGTAGGCAGGCAGGTAGGCAAGTAGGTAAGCAGGTAAGCAAGCAGGTAAGTTGGGCAAGCAGGTAAGTGGGTAAAGCAGGTAAGTAGGCAAGCAGGTAAGTAGGCAGGTAGGCAAGCAGGCAGGTAAGTTAAGTAAGTAAGTAAGTAAGTAAGTAAAGTAAGTTAAGAAAAGTAAGTTTGTTTTGGTTGTGAACGTTTTGTTTAAAGTCGCACTCAGCAATATTTCAGCTATTTGGCGATTTTTAAATATCGAGTCTGGACCAGACAATCTGGTGATCACAGCATGAGCATCGATCTTGTAATTGGGACATGATGAAATATGACAGTGAGCCGGACCATCCGATCCCGTTAGTCACCTCCTAGGACCAATTCTAACCCGGATCTTCACGGTTAATTCATTCTGTATAAAGCGAAGATAGATCAAACTTCTCATCATGAGTATCGATATGATGAACGTGTATACGAAACTAAAACTAGCTGTAACTTAGCCTCATGGACAGGACTTTATCTAAAACCGAAATCAATTACAGCTTGTTATTTTCATGCCATTTTGCTTTGAACTGCAAAATCCTACCTATTTTCATGTTCTGGACAAGATGTCAAACTTGCAAAGAAAACGGTTTTATTTTCTCACCGTTCTGCCTTGGTTTGCAAAATCAATACCGAACTGATTTCTGGCACCTCCACCCGCGGGGTTCTCATGTCCTACCCCCTGCCACGTCTCCCCCGTCACACAAGGGTGGGTCAGGTTGTAGCCATTTGGGATATTATTCCTGTATCCTCCATACCCATAGATCACTCCAATACATGCGAGGAAAGCGGATAAGCTGTAGGAAAAACAAATAGGTATATGTGAAGACATAAATGACATATTATTACATGCTGCAATTTGGAGAAACGTTTAGTTGTGAAAGTTTTGTAAGGTTCACGTTTTGATGGCTAACGAAAAACACCTCAAATATAGATTGAAATGTACCGGAAAATAGGCAACCCAAACTGCACCTCTTCCTATGATGAGCTGACAGGGGCACACAGTCAGGGGCATGATGTATCTACCAGGGTGACAGAGGCACACAGTCGGGGGCACAGTGTACCTACCAGGGTGACAGAGGCACACAGTCAGGGGCATGATGTATCTACAAGGGTGACATAGGCACACAGTCAGGGGCATGATGCATCTACCAGGGTGACAGAGGCACACAGTCAGGAGCATGATGTATCTACCAGGGTGACAGAGGCACACAGTCAAGGGCATAATACATCTACCAGGGTGACAGAGGCACACAGTCAGGAGCATGATGCATCTACCAGGGTGACAGAGGCACACAGTCAGGGGCATGATGTATCTAACAGGGTGACACAGGCACACAGTCAGGGGCATGATGTATCTACCAGGGTGACAGAGGCACACAGTCTGGGGCATGATGCATCTACCAGGGTGACAGAGGCACACACTCAGGAGCATGATGTCTCTACCAGGGCGACAGAGGCACACAGTCAGGGGCATGATGTAACTACAAGGGTGACATTGGCACACAGTCAGGGGCATGATGTATCTACCAGGGTGACAGAGGCACACAGTCAGGGGCATGATGCATGTACCAGGGTGACAGAGGCACACACTCAGGAGCAAGATGCTTCTACCAGGGCGGCAGAGGCACACAGTCAGGGGCATGATGTATCTACCAGGGTGACAGAGGCACACAGTCAGGGGCATGATGTATCTACAAGGGTGACAGAGGCACACAGTCAGGAGCATGATGCATCTACCAGGGTGACAGAGGCACACAGTCAGAGGCATGATGTATCTACCAGGGTGACAGAGGCACACAGTCAGGGGCATGATGTATCTAACAGGGTGACAGAGGCACACAGTCTGGAGCATGATGTATCTACCAGGGTAACAGAAGCACACAATCAGGAGCATGATGCATCTACCAGGGGGACAGAGGCACACAGTCAGAGGCATGATGTATCTACCAGGGTGACAGAGGCACACAGTCAGGAGCATGATGTATCTAACAGGGTGACAGAGGCACACAGTCAGGAGCATGATGTATCTACCAGGGTGACAGTCAGGGGCAGGCACACAGTCAGAGGCAGCATGATGTATCTAACAGGGTGACAGAGGCACACAGTCAGGGCATGATGTATCTAACAGGGTGACACAGGCACACAGTCAGGGGCATGATGCATCTACCAGGGTGACAGAGGCACACAGTCAGGGGCATGATGCATCTAACAGGGTGACACAGGCACACAGTCAGGGGCATGATGCATCTACCAGGGTGACAGAGGCACACGGTCAGGGGCATGATGCATCTACCAGGGTGACAGAGGCACACAGTCAGGAGCATGATGTATCTACCAGGGGGACAGAGGCACACAGTCTGGAGCATGATGTATCTACCAGGGTAACAGAAGCACACAATCAGGAGCATGATGCATCTACCAGGGGGACAGAGGCACACAGTCAGAGGCATGATGTATCTACCAGGGTGACAGAGGCACACAGTCAGGAGCATGATGTATCTAACAGGGTGACAGAGGCGCACACTCAGGAGCATGATGTATCTACCAGGGTGACATAGGCACACAGTCAGGGGCATGATGTATCTACAAGGGTGACAGAGGCAGTCAGTCAGGAGCATGATGTATCTAACAGGGTGACAGAGGCACACAGTCAGGGGCATGATGTATCTAACAGGGTGACACAGGCACACAGTCAGGGGCATGATGCATCTACCAGGGTGACAGAGGCACACAGTCAGGGGCATGATGCATCTAACAGGGTGACACAGGCACACAGTCAGGGGCATGATGCATCTACCAGGGTGACAGAGGCACACGGTCAGAGGCATGATGCATCTACAAGGGGACAGAGGCACACAGTCAGGGGCATGATGTATCTACCAGGGTGACAGAGGCACACAGTCAGAGGCATGATGCATCTACCAGGGGGACAGAGGCACACAGTCAGGGGCATGATGTATCTACCAGGGTAACAGAGGCGCACAATCAGGGGCATGATGCATCTACCAGGGTGACAGAGGCACACAGTCAGAGGCATGATGCATCTACCAGGGGGACAGAGGCAGACAGTCAGGGGCATGATGTATCTACCAGGGTAACAGAGGCACACAGTCAGGGGCATGATGCATCTACCAGGGTGACAGAGGCACACAGTCAGAGGCATGATGCATCTACCAGGGTGACAGAGGCACACAGTCAGGGGCATGATGTATCTACCAGGGGGACAGAGGCACACAGTCAGAGGCATGATGCATCTACCAGGGTGACAGAGGCACACAGTCAGGGGCATGATGTATCTAACAGGGGACAGAGGCACACAGTCAGGGGCATGATGCATCTACCAGGGGGACAGAGGCACACAGTCAGGGGCATGATGTATCTACCAGGGTAACAGAGGCACACAGTCAGGGGCATGATGCATCTACCAGGGTGACAGAGGCACACAGTCAGAGGCATGATGCATCTACCAGGGGGACAGAGGCACACAGTCAGGGGCATGATGTATCTACCAGGGTGACAGAGGCACACAGTCGAGGCATGATGTATCTACCAGGGTGAACGCCAGTGGCATTTTCTTCTAAGTGTGTAATCGTCTCCGTTTGGCTGCTCACTAGCCCTGTAGGTCATGCACTCGCATTAACTCTTTCAACACCAGGCAACCAGAAGCTTTAACTGCCATGACACCGAATTCCCGGGGACTCTGAGGTCATAGATGAAGCCTATGTTTATCAAGGAAAATATGAGCTTATAAAACGTTATTGCTAGTACATACCATACACCATTTGAAAGATCTAATCCTACTGTTGATTAATATGAAATTTATTTTTATCATATATGTCTGATAATACAACTACAACTTAAATAAATTTATTTTTAATGAAAATGCAAGCTTACATTTATAATGTTCAGATAAACCACGAAAGAAGCAAAAACTATGGCAATTTTTGTCCATTTGTGACATGTCATAACATCCCCGTGCCCTTTTCTTTTATATTTTAATTTTTATTTAATCAGAAATTATTATAAAAAGATTTCTTAAAAAATATGTATGGCCGCCTATTTCCCGATACCAGTGGCTTTCCGCCCGGTAACATGACACAACAATGGAAAATACATCCGTTTCCGAAGCTACGTATGAATAACATGCGAAGCGAATCGTTTGATGGCGGGTATCGTTCGAAAGCTCTGAACATCAACACTGTACCCTTGCCAAGAGTTTTTCACAGCTGTAAGAACCGATTTTATTGGATAAAGATTGGATCGCCACAGTCTGCTATAAGGGTCGCGTTTGGTCAAAATCAGACACGTGACCTAAGGCAGCCAATCATGTTGTAGCAATGGATACTGTCTTTGTTAACGTAAACATTTATATTAAGACGAAAGTTTTGGGTAAAATAATGCTATTCTGAACACGTTAAGCAAGAAATCGCTACCTATACGTACATTATGGAACTTATTGGATGTATCGTGCTAGGTTATGACATGTGACTAAAATGCTACTTGCATATATTTTCGCATTAAACATCGTGTCCGAGCGTGAACGTTGAGGCGTCGAAAACCAAGATGTCCCTTGGCAGTGACTTGACTTACATTACATGATCGCACAAAAAGATAGAAATAGTAATTTTATATTTACGTTTGAGAACTTTTATGAATGCTATTGCTGATTTTATTCATTAGTTTATTCAATTTATTTAATGGTTTCCTCGAAACATCAATACTTTGCTCTTTGACAATTTTATTGTTGACCCGCTGCCGAAGCATGTGTCTGACAATCATTGCTTTCAATAACATTGCGAAAAATAGTTTATAATTTTAATTCTGCCGATAATATATGATCAATTGAAATTTAATAAGTGTTTCCAGACATTGTAAAAAGTGATAGATTTAATATAGGAATCATAAGTCAGATAGGTTCCTAAACTTATATCTCATTTTGACGTGACTACTGCTGGCCGATTAATCGTCAGGTGTCTGGGGACTCATAACGTTGTGGCCGAGTATTCGGCCTGCGGTGTTGAATGGGTTAAACTAATTACACTGACCCGTCATCACAGACATGTACTCCTGGATTATCCTGAAGATCACAACAATTGAAGAGACCAGGGCTAAGCTCCGGTACTCTTCATTGGTGTATCTGGACAATGTCTACCCTTCACAGACAGTGTTTGACACAGACCCCATGCTCCAACGTAGCGGAACATGACTGCTGTGTAGAGGGTTTACTCAGGTGCTCTAAATGAATCTGCCTCCATATCCTAAAGTAGGACACTATGACATGACTTCAATACAGGAATGACATTCTGAAAATATACGTGCGATCGTATGCTGGTGCTATTGGACCGAACTTCGCGAACGATAACACACGACCTCCTCGAGCCGTTAATGTCTTCTAAGAACAGGAGACCGTTGTCCCAATGCAATTACTGGACCTCAACCTCAGCTGAGTACATGTGGAGTGACCTGTCCTTCCGGCAAGTCTACAGGAACTCAGCAATGCTCTTAATGAAGAGAGGGACAATGTCTTAATGCAACCACCTAGACACGAAAGTGCCAGGCTGTAATCGTATCAAGTGGATCACACCGGTGAGGGATTTCGACAATGGACTTGTCTTTTCCCTATTTTCACTTTCAGGTCTTGGTCAGTTCCTCTTGTTGTGACGTGTAAACGTAGAAAAAGGTCAAATGTTGTCGACATTGTGTGGCAAATTACAATAGACTTGCTGTGATTAAAACTGTCATGGAGCAATAACGTCTCTCTTTGTCAAAACATGGACACATTTCTTACATTTAAAAGAAAATATGAGGCTTTGCACCTACTTGTAACAACCAATAGCAGGCTATTGAAGAAAATACGACCCCCTTCAGCCCTCTACCGATACATTTTCATTTTATATGATAATCAATATTATTGCCAATATTATTGATGACCTCATGTCATCACTGGTTTTCAATTCAAAATTTCATTTTACCCCAAATGGATTTCGTTACACTTTCGAGACTGGTTATTATCTGGCTTTGAAGTTCATATTCTACAGCAGCACAGTCTAAACTGTCATTCTGACTTACCTTATAGTCCACATGTTGAACATAGTTCATCTGCACCCATAAGCTTGTGTCGGGTTTGTGTTGTCGACGGTTAGTTATAAGGTCCAGTCACGTGGTAGGGTGTCAACTTTACATTACGTAGAGGAACAACCACTATAGCTTGTGCAGTGAGCAGAATCACATCCCCAGCGCAATTAAATTGTTTGTCAGGGTCCACCTCTGCAGCGACTTTGGAGGAGCAACGGAGCGAAACAAAATACCAACAATTTTGTTTGGCTAAATAATCGGGCGTATTTGGTAACTTCTAAAAGCATTTCATGTACATCATGTGTTTCAGGAGGGGGGCGTGGTGGGCGAGCTGTCTAAGGTGCCAGGCTAGTGAGCTTGGAGGTGCCGGGATCGAGCCCAACTGTGGCCGGGTGTAAAAACCTCTCAGTCAACTCTTTCAGTGTTGTCACAACCCCTAGTGTACAGTACACAACCCTGTACACTTAAAAGAACCCACGAATCCGTAGGTATATGACCAGATGGTGGTCACATGAATACGTGCAAACACCTAGTTGCCGGTACAGCAACGTGCAGTAAAACTTGTACAAAGTACTGTGACTATGTGTCCCAGTCCATCCAGCTATGAAGTGGTACCTCGTAAGGATGGGGTAGCCACATTAACTTTGTGCGCTTAGTGGCTGCACGAATTGTATGATCCCCAGGGAGTTGAGATTGACATCCAATGATCGAGGGAAAATCAAAGCGCTTTGAGCATGCATGTACATATGGTAAGCCCAGAGGAATGCAGGTGCCAAACCAGCAAACTTTGTGCAATAAAACCAAGGTTAAACTATGGTATCCTGGAAGGGACATTGTCGCGTTGTTGCATTGTCGCGTTGTCGCCCTATCAAAAACAAGCAAAATAAGGCAAAATTAACCAAAGCGCGACAATGCGACAGCGCGACATATCGGCCATTTGTCGCATTATCGCGATGTCGCATGTCGCGCTTTGGTTAATTTTGCCTCACTTTGCTTGTTTTTTGAGAGGGCGACAACGCGACAATGTCCCTTCCAGGATTTCATACTAAAGAGTTCTAACCTTGGCACCCGATCACAAGGACACAACGCTGTACAGAAGAGTGCAGCGTCATAGGTGACCTACTTTGTTCCCTTGGTGAATAAGTGTCCAAACATCTGAAATTCCTGGGACAATGTGATCACTCTTGGCAAATATCAAATGTCCCCTCCCTAACAAGGGATGTGAAATTCAGATGTACTGACATCAATCGCCGACCATGCGTAACATTTTCAAAATGAAAAGACACACACACACAAAGACATTGAAAGCCTCGTGTACGTAACAGCCACAACCTATATCGAGATCGAGGATATTTACAATGGCTTATCACTCACAGTTATTGAAAAAGAGAAAAAAGATTAATTTTCATTTCATTAAAGAAATGATTTTCACGTAGATTGTGTTATCACCACAACTGCATACATTGGAGTTTGTAATCCGAACTATTGATAATTATGTTTGTGTCTCAGATATGATCCAAGCCCCGTCCATCTTCGCAAAGCACACACCACGACAGGCGATGGCGTCAGGGGACCACTCTAACTTGTAATAAACAACAGCGACATTTTTCGAGGTTTTGAATTACCTTTAAAAAACTTTCTTACCTGTCAATGACCATTAAACGTTTCGCCCTAGGCCATGGATTTGAATAGATTGGCTATTTTACTACGCAAAATGTATTGATGTATAATGCACTGCACCAATATCCAGCGGCTGCAAGCTGAAAATGCGCGCAAAACAATTGTCTTGTGATCCACTCAACCCACTCAACCACTCAACCACTCAACCACTCGCCCACTCGCCCACTCACCCACTCACTCACTCACCCACTCACCCACTCATCCACTTACCCGCTCTCCCACTCACCCACTCACCCGCTTACACGCTCTCCCACTCACCCGCTCATCCGCTCACTCACCCACTCGCTCATCCGCTCACCCTCTCAACCACTCACTCACTCGCCCACTCACCATCTCATCCACTCTCCCACTCATCCGTTCAACCACCCACCCACTCACCCACTCACTCACTAGCCCAATCACCCACACACCACTCACCCACTCACCAACTCTCCACTCATCCACTCTCCCACTCTCCCACTCTCCCACTCATCCGCTCACCCGCTCACCCATTCACTCACTCACCCACTCACCCACTTACCCGCTCTCCCGCTCACCCACTCACCCAATCATCCACTCACCCACTTACCCGCTCTCCCGCTCACCCACTCACCCACTCACCCACTCACCCGCTCACTAGCTGTATATAACGTCCAGTGATATCATCATCCCCGTCAAACAGATCGAATGTGCGTTGTGCTTCTTTAGAATTGCAATGATTTACATAAAGCATTGTGGATGACAAACAAATTCCAGGCTTGTGGGCTTCCAGGCGGAAAGTTCAAGGTCCATTTAAGCTACACAGATTTACATGAATCTATGGTCCTCCATTATTTAACAAAAATAACTCACACAATTTTCAACAGCTGTGCTCATGTGGGCGACACCTTTACCTTCTGTTTGATTTCAACGTTAAAACGAAACCGCTGTGTACCAAAAAAACACCATGTTTATTTGACCTACTCTTTTCTCAAGCATGCTTCGTTACGGTGTATGGTCGCACTACAAAGTGTTACGGCTGAAGTAGATAATCTGGCCCATATTCTGTTTCAGGTATATTCATTATTTCTGTTCGGGCTTGGATAGAATCGTTTCAGGACAAACTTTACGGATGAACAACTTCAAGTATGAGTCAGGTAAAAAACCTTGGTTTATATACATGTATATAATAAAAATAAGTAACACTATAGGGGATAGAGATGGATCGTAAAACTGTAGGGATTCTTTGAAAGGTGTATTAAATGGTGGAAGTTCGACACTTTGTCAGCAGGGAAGGTGGGGAACTAAATATAGGCTTAGTCACAGTAATTTCATGTTATATGTAAATATTAACACTGAAATTTAAAGTCAGTTTGTACGACAAATAAACAAAATTGTCACGATGTCAGTCACTGGAGTGTCTGGTCCGGACTTAAAAAATCTACTGAGTCCAGTCATATAGCTGGAAAATATACTGAACCGTAAAAGTAACGTCCCACCGATATAGGTTTCTTAATGCGCAAATTTTAATTCGCAAAGCGGTGGATTGAGTTCAAACTTGACATTTATAGTTACCACATTTTCGGGAATCACATTTAGAGTTTACACAAACAAAATGACCAAAAATGGTACCATTAGGATACCTCAAAGTCAGTATCATACGTGGCCTCTAGGGGCATTGATAACAGCGTTGCATCGTCTGTACATGGAATGAATTAGCCGGTTGATGAAGGTCATGGGCACTTGAGTCCATACTCTGCGAAATGCTTTGACCGAGTCCAGCTGCAGTTGTCGGCCTTAGTTGGATGTCATTCAGTCTTCTTTGAATCTTGTCCCAAATGTGTTCTATTCGACTTAAATCTGAGTGCAGGTCATTGTAGGGTTTAGATGTCATGTCGTCTTAGAAGGTCCAATGTCGCTCTTTCAGTGAGCACGAGCGTTGTCTTGCTGGAAGATATGATTTCTGTAACGTCCAAAATGTGGTACAACGTGGGGTCTTATGACTTGGTCAATATAGCGAGCAGCTGTCACTCCATTTCCTCACCCTGGACCCAGATTCTGGAACACCACGGTGCCAACTCTGTGGTTCAGACCGATTGCACTCCACACTATGTTGCTTGGAGTCCCTTTCAACCAATGCACTCAAACGGAAAATGGAAAAACGTTCCCCATACTCTCACTCTGCCATCGGCTGTCCAAACACAATATCGGCTTTCATCTGAAACAAGCACAGTTCGCCATTGTCGATAACGCCTATTTCGATGCTGAGTTGCCCATGCAGTTTGGGCGGTGAGGACAGGACCACGATATGGTATGTGACAGCTGAGGTTTCTTCCGCGCAAACGTCGACGCACTGTATAGTCTGTCCCAATGCTGGCGTGTTATTTCCGTCGCTGTGGTGAAGCGATCCTAAAGATTGTTGCACACATTTGTCAATTTGTAGGTCTTGACGTTGTGATGTTACTGAAGATCGTCCACGGTCTTGGATGCTGTCCGTGACCAGATACTGCTCCTGCAGTCGGTAATTTGTCCTAATAGAAGAAGTATATTTCAGTTTGTAGGCCATCGGTCCATATACAAAAAGCAAGACAAATGACATTGTGCATGATGGCAATAGGTCATTTTACAGAAGACCGACTTAAAGAGACGATTGATAAATTCAATAACAGTTCCACGTCATCAGAAGTTATTAACTTTATGAATTTACAAGCATTTGTTAAATTATTCCATACAGGTAAATACATTTTTCGTAGTGTTACATACTTATCACATTCAAACAGGAAGTGGGCTTCATCTTCATGTCTATTACTCTATTACTATTACACAACATACAAATTACATCTGATTTCATAGTTTCCTTCCATCTAATATTACATCGTAATGGTAATGCATGGAATCTTAACAAAGATAAATATCTTCTAACGTCTCTTACGTCTTAAAATGTGATTATCAAGTGTCAATGATGGTATAATACTTTTAAAATGTACAAGACTTGATGAATCCATGATATTGCTACCTTATTTGTTTTGAACAAGCAACTAACATCTGCATATATCATGTTAAACATACTGACACATTTCCATTGTATTGGGAAATCCAAACCTAACCAAATCCATACTCATTTAAAAGCTTACATATTTTGAAACCCATATATTCCTACCAACAGAATCTAATCTAGGTATATAATTGTAACATTGTTTAGGATAACGATCATTAGGCATTTTTAAAAGTTTACACCACACATGTAAGATGATAATCTACATTCTTACTATATCTTCTACATTCAGCTACTGCTGCATTACTTTAAGTATGTTTACCAACCCCTAAAACAAATTTACAAAAATGACTATGAAATTTATCAACAACAGTTCTTTCCTGAAATCTCCACACCTCCACACCTCTGCCCCGTACAGTCAAAAAAGGTTACATAACACATGAACAGGAATATTTGTAGAATTATGTTGTAATTGTTTTATAACTTATAAAGCTTTGCTG